TGAAATACTTTATTTCATTCTGTTCCATTCCAACAGTTGGCAAGTGCCAGTTCCAGTACCAGTATATAGACTCTGTATTTTCTAGCACAGCACAATGATCAGGCTTTAGGAGGAGATAAACTAAAAAGACAGTTAAAATTGTAAAACCATACAGAGATTAAATATTTTTCATATTTTAGAACAAACTGTACCTCTAAATAGCCACATGTTAAAATTTTTGTATGTACCCATTTCACTTTTTTAAATTATTGAGTGTGAAAGAACATCAAAATGAGACCTTATTAATTCCAATGTACACATAGGACTCCATGTTATGACAATAAGTTATGTTTTAGGTGTTTTTGAACATGTAGTTACTGAAAAAAAGAAAGCTACAGATGTGCAAACTGTCTGCATAGGCCTCGAAGCTGTCACAATGCATATTCCAATGAGCAGTTTAAATCCATTAATTATAAATGTAAACTTCATTTTTCCTCACATATTTTTTCAGCGGTTCCTAAACTTGGTGGGTACTTAATTCTAAACATCACCTTTGTTAACATATACTCTGCAAACTGCTTATTGTCAGGCTTTGAAGGGAATTTCTTACTAGCTGTCAATAAAGTTGATTCATGGCTGCTGGAAAGGTGTTACAAATGAGTGTTTGAGATTGCTTAAAAAATCACCAGCAAGGGTATCAGCAAAAACCAGATTTAATACTTAGCAACAGCGTGACAGAGTTTGTTGGCAAGATTCACTTTACTGCCTACAGGACAATTAAGGCACACCAAGGAAACAAAGCAGCAACAAAACCAGGCAATCATGATCCAGGCAATCAAAATCCAAGCAATCAAAACAGAAATGAGCTGAGAACCATCCAGGGGGCTTGTGTGTGTGTTAAGGTGTGAATATCAAAAGGATAGTGAAGGCAAGGATAAAAAGGAACATGGTCTAAAAACTTAATAGCACTCAAACTTTACAGTACTTTAACTTAACTTATACCTTAAACCTAACAAGTTTAAAAAGGAACAACACTTAACTTTATACCTAACTTAACTTATAACTTAACAATTTAACAGAGGAATAACAGCATTTAACCCAACTTATTACTTCAAAGTTGAACTTGCTCAATAGAAGAATAACATTCATCAGCTTTTAACTTAGCTTACAACTTATGACTTAACCTTACTTACAGGCCTAACTTACTGAGATATTGAAGGTCCTTAAACATCTAAGAAAACAGCATGTCTCCTGGATTTGCTAAAGCATATACACAGGTGCATGCACACAGACAGAAGGAGTCAGTGCAAGAAAGGTACCTGTGAAAAATTCCCCTCAGAGGTCAGGGAGCTCTGAGAGGTCCCACTCAGAGGGAGATGCTGGTCACAGCCTGCTGCAGTTCAGGAGAGCTCAAAGGGTCTCATTTTGAACAGCTGTTTATAGGGGCACTAAAAAGTCAGCTTTAGTCATAACAATGTTTTTGTCCTGGCCACAGTTTGGGTCGGCACTTTCTTTGAAAGTGTGAGAACAGCAATGTTTTGCCATCCAGGCAAGGAAAACAGTTTCCAAGGTTGTTGATAAAGAAAACAGGAACTCCTTAGACAGCAGTAGTTCCTGGGAGCAGGCACTGTTTCTGATAAGCTCTAGAAGGGATGAGCCCAGGTGCTGCTTTTCAAGGCCAAGGCCTAACGAGCATTTCTCAGATTGCAGTGCAGCCTGGAAAAGGGAGGGAGCAGGGCAGAACGCACCACCATGAAAGGCAAACGTGGTTTGTTTTGATGTGACCCTGTTGTTGGGCCTCTGCACACTGACAAGCCTGTCATGCTTATAGCAAGTATGTGATGAGATCAGCTGAACTATGGCTATGGAAAACAAAGTCTGAGTTCAGTCTCACTGCTGGCTGGGAGAGCAGAGAAGCAGCTGTGCAGCACTGGCTGAAGGTACTTCAGCTGCACCAACAGCAGATGCACTGGGCATCAGAGCAGTCCCACTACCATCCCAGGCCGAAATGGCCAAAAAAGATTGGGTTGAGCCTCTTCAAAAAGTGCTTGCAGAATCTGACTCAGTTTTCTGCTGCTCACCCAGGTGATACTAAGCCAGAGGCACCAGGATCTCACCTGCTTCCAAGATGCTTATTAGTTTTAGTAGCCCAAATATTTGCAGCTGAATGCAAAGGAAAAACAATATGGTGTAGAGAAGAGCTATTATTAATAGAAGCCTGTTCAAAATACCAGACAGCAGTTTGAGTACTCAATAAATGATTTCTTGTTTGAGCTATAATTCTCAGCTTGATTTTTTTTTTCTGTACTTTCAGCAACTGGATCTTCATTCTTGTCCAAAACCAATTGTTTTCATCATTCATTCCTTCCTGTCAGCAAAGATCACGAGACTGGGCTTGGTGGCATAAGTGGGATCCATCTGTTTCTGCAAAGAAAGACGGGGTAACCACACTAATCTGGAGTACAGTCAACAGCAGCAGTGTCCTAGCTGGCAGCAGACACCAGCCTGGGACTCAGCACCGGCCATTGGTCGTTTCTGCAGTCCTCCCAGGCCCAGGTTTAATTTTGACCAGCTAAAGAGATGGCATGACAAGGAAGATGGGGGATTTCATTGTAAATAACGGGATTTTAAAATCCCATATGAGACCGTAAAAGCGTGTAGTACCATACATGTAAATGTTTCAGAAGCAGAAATTGTGCCTATTTCAATGTACTTGTCTATATAAAGTAAAGGGCTATGCAGTCAAGCACTTGTTGGTTGTGATGCAAGCCAAGGTTGGTTGGGGGGAAATCCTTTAAAATTGTTCCATCACCTGGAAGTTAAAAGTTCTTTCAGTTATAATCTGTGCTCTACTTAGATTTTTCTTTTGGAGCACTGCCAGAACCTGTTGCATGAATACCCAGCAGAGCCTGCAAATACAAACCTTTGAGGTGGACACTCTGAAGCAATCCAGCTGTGGGCAGCTAACAGCTGGAGGCCCCCCCAGGAGCAGTTTCACATTAAGCAGTAACCAATGTCACCCACATTCCCAATGATGGAGCCAAAGCAGGGCCAGCCACAGGGATGGTACTGAGAGCCAGCTCAGGGGGCACAGGCAGGAGATCCCTTTGTTAATGAACACAGAATGCATTTTTATAGTGACTTCCCACCACAGTTTAATGAGTTTCAGCTATCTGGGAGCCCCAGCTCAGGTGAAAGCTGCCTGAATCCATTCTGAGGTGGGATGATGCTCCTGCCAGGTTATCTCCAGGGCAGTTTTCCAGTAGACAGCCATATTAAGATTCTGTCCTCCTACCCCTACTGAGTCCCCCCATTTGCTCAGACCAGGCTGGTTGTGTGGTCTTCATAGAATAACAAACATAGGGAAGGAGGAAGACTTGATTTTATGAGTTTGTGAAAAATTTATTGAAGCAGCTCCACAACAGTGAGGAACATACACCAGGGCAGGAACATGAACTGCAGTCCTTGACATGGAACTGCTCCTATGGGCATGACTTGGCAAGACCAGGTTTCTTGCTGGGGAAATACAAGATGTTCATCTCCATGCCCACACCTTACTGGTGACTGTTTTGCAGCAGAGCTTATTGTTCTGACTCAAAACATGATTCAGTGAGTTTCAGCCTTGTTCACAGCTACTTGAGCAGCAAAAAGCAGGCAGGAACTGACTTTCAGCACCAGAGATAACACACACAGCCCATACCAGGAAATAATAAACTGGCATGACATGATCTGCTGGGAATAGGAAGAAGCAAAACAGAGATGCCACTTATGTTGTTCTTCCTTTTTTAAAAGAACAGCTTCACACAGGGGTGGGGTTTTGTCTGTTTTTAGAGTTTTGCCCTAAATTCACACTTTGAAGGACAGGAAGTAACATATTCAGTGTTTGTGGATGTTCAGTTTTTATATTACAACATTTCTTTTATTCCTGAGAAAGCACATAGATTTCAATTCAGCATCACTTGGCTGGCAAAGAAGAAGATTAAAAAGACATTTTGGTTCCATGTTGTTTTTGAGCTAAGTTTGAGAGTTAAGCATAAGTCATGTTGTCTATTCAAAGCATAAAAACATGGTGATTTCCATAGGTATCTTACTTATCAAAACAAATTAAAATATTAGGATGATGGGCTGAATTCATAAATACAGAAAATAATCACTGAAGAACAGCTCAGTGCCCCATTGGAAGAGCAGCCCCACTGCCAGGACCTCTCACCAGTCAAAGCCCTGCCAAGGAGAGATCCACCCAGCTCTGCACTTTTATTATCATGGTACTTGCACTTAAAAATTAATTCCTCATATAAATAAACAAGGAGGTAACGTTGTTACCTAACCTAGCAGTAGTTTCCAGATGGACATTTCCCATTTAGTGACCACTGCCAGTCACACAACTTTCTGTGGCAGTTCCTTGGGGCTCCTGGGAGGCCTCCTGGGAGAGCTCAGGGAAGCTGAGAGCAGCCGGTACGCAGGGGGACAGGGCTCTGAGAGGAGCTCCTGTCACCCTACCAAGGAAACTCTCGTGTCAAGTCTTTAAAAACCAGTTCAGGACATTTTTATTGCTGTTCCAAAGTACAAACCTAAAAATTTGGAGACAGGCTCCTATAAAAGTGCTGGAGGAGTAGGTTAAATCCATATGTAAACTCTACTGCACTATTTCCTTATTCCTTTTAACACAAATCACTGGAATGTTATACCTAACATGTATGTGCATTGTAAATATTACAAATTCCTACATTAGTGCCAACAAATTAAATTACACAAAATGTAATCTAAGGTGCTCAGTACTATATGAAGTCTAAGTGAATAACTAAGCAGTTTGCAAAGAAAATTCATATTATATATATTTATAGAAAAAAATTAATGATGATTACAGATGCTATTTCTTCATTTTCAGATTTTGGACTGATTCATATTTGGATGGGATAGACAAATGAAATATGAACCTACTCCACATTTATAAGAGTATAGTGAATATTTATATTTTAGAGGAAAAGAATATATTTAATAAAGTCATTTATTGGATTTTCGTGACGTGAGCTTACTTTGTGTCCAGACAAACTATCTGGAAGGCTGACCTTTGGTTTTGGGCTGGGAGAAATACCTTTAAACTTCAGTGCTTCAATTAAGAATTCTGTTACTGGAGGGAACTGTTAATTGCATTGGTGGAATGACTTAAAAATTTAAATTAAAAAAACAACCTGAAATCTCACAGGGATGTTTCAGGGCAGGTCATTCAGACATCTCTGCTGAAGTTGCAATGCTTTCTCCTGTTGCTTATACCGGACTGGGTGGTAACAGAAGACTTACAAAAAAATTAAGAAAAAGCAGAAATTTCTGCTCAATCTTCTGCATTCAAGGACTGAGGCCAACATGTGCCTTTTTTTCTCTGATGAATGGTTATGGGAAAACAATTTTTTTATTTCTTCTTTGATTTAATTCTTAACTTAGTGGCCCAAATAGAAAAGCTAACTGTGGGAATTTAAGCTTTTTTCTTTTAGTCTGACCCAAGTTGTGACAGAACAGCCTTGTGGAAAGCCTAAAAAGGGATATTCCAGAGTTTCATTCTCTTCACAAAATAATTACTATAAATGGAATGGTCTTATCAGAAAGTTTGTATAGCAGCTTCATCATGAGAAAGATTGGGATACATATTGGAACAAAAATGTTATTGGAAAAATGTAATGTAAAGTGTTTGTTAAAAAAAATAAAGCTGATCTGATTGTGTTCAGGGAATCATCCTGGTGTTTCTAAGAGTCCTGCCCTTCAAATGGAACCAGCATCTCTCTTAAGATACTTTAGAAATCAAAGCAAGACTCTTGACATACTACAAAGCAAATCAGCACCACAAACACCACTAGAATTAATCCTTTGCAAATAACAAAACAAGTGTTTTCCTTCTGCAGAGTGTTACAATTTCTTCCTCCCACAGGACATGGCAGCACCCTCCTCCACCCAGCTCTTTGCATTGGGAAGCTCAGCTGATTGGAAGGGAGACTGATCTGATTTCCAGCTGAGAGCATTCTCAGTGTGCTTTTACCCACGCTTAAAAGTTAATTGGAGCTTCTTTGGTTTCAGTGGAAGCAGAATCAGAGCCTAAAGAAATTATGTGCTCCAGATCATTAACTACCATTGATTTCTAAATTTATGTTATTTTCCATAAAAGTCAAACTGGCAGATTGATATCTAGCTAGTTACTGAATCTATTTACTATATAGAGAGACCATTAATACAGTATATATTACATAATTTTGTATATTATGGACACTTTTGAATTCAGTGGTGACCTCAGTTTTAAAGAACAGATATTAATAATATGCTTGCAGAATTTTGAGAAACTCAGCCTGCTTGCTTAAAGTGAATCCCCAGACTAACCAGGACAAAATTTTTATTTAAAAGAATGAGGGGAACAACATTTTAAATATTTAACGGAGATGACAACCTCCTGTTGAACATCATCACCTGCTTTTCCCACATGGGATTAGCTATTCTTTTTTTTTCCTTCATAAGAATTTCTATGCTTGTGTAAATAAGTAGAGGCATTAGGAAACAAATTCAGAAAACAAATTCTAAGGGAGAACTGTGAGCTAGGACAAAGAAGTTTGTGGATTTGGGCAAGCATTAGTACCCAAGCTAAGTTCTGTGGTAGCCCAGTGATACTCATAATGTAATTAAAATTAATTGCTGTAATATTACAAGTAATCATATCATCAAGTAATTGCAACCACATCAGTGCTGTCTTACCTCTATCCTGTGGGGAATATAAGCACATAACATGGATGGATAATGTGCTTTTACATATAATGCATAATGTTATTATGCTATGCTATGTTATGTTATGTGCTTGTTATATAGATGGATGGATTATGGGTAAACCAGAAATGTGTAATGGTGAATTTGATTTATATCTTGATTTGCAAAAACATGAGAGCAAGCACCCAAAATATGCATAGGTCAGACTGGATTTGGGGGGTTCAGCAGCCGCAAACAAGAAAATAGTTTGAAGTTCAGAGGCAAAGGGTGATGTTACATTCTGCATCACTTAAGTTACAGCATATCAGCCAAGATGCAGGAACTCTCAGTGTGGGGTTTTGGAACTATGACAGATGTAAAATAATTTGGTGAAGTGCTGTTGCAGTGGACCAGATCAAATTATTGTGCCTACATTTTGTAGGTTAAGAGCATGGACAGGGACAGTTATCACAGCTCAAATGGGGCACAGTGTTATTAAGCCACAATAATAAACCAGCTACCACTTGTCCTAAAAAGCCACTAACACAAAGAGCAAATGAGACATGGGTAGCAGTGTATTAGTTCTGCACTGGGAACTGTGCAGAAAACCAATACATCAAAATGCTTATGCTTCCATAACTGCTTTCCTGCTGATTATTTCAGGCCAGTCTTTGAGTCTACAGAATTAATTAAACCAATAAGCATTGGGTTCTACTTGAAGTACAAGAAAAGCAGTTCAAATTATTTACTTTCCTGAAGGTATTTTTCTTTGCTCATGGCAGCTAGCCTCAAGGATTTATGAAATGTAGAGCTTCTGTACTTTTATTTATCAACTTAGGTATTATTATTAACTACAAAGTTTTTCTAATTACAAATATATAAACTTGCCAAAATTAAGTAGAAAACACAACTCTCAGTGGCTTCCTTTAGTATTCAGACAAAAGTATCAGCATTCAGGCTGAAGAGATAAGGCTACAGCTTACAGCTTTTCTCTCTCTGGAAGTAGAGCATTTCCTGATTCACTATAAGATGTTAGGAAAGGCTAATGTCTTGATTACTTTCTTGTTTTTATAAAGAATGCAAAGAAACATGAGCCATACACAGTAATCATTACATTGGAGCAATTCTGTGCATGCACTTATTAGATGATTATTTAAATAACTCTCTTCATTTAATTTCTATTTCACCAAATCACTAAAACTGGGATGCTGTGGATGTGTGGCATTCTGCAGACAAATGAAATCCATCTGACAAGTAGTTTTGTTTGTCCTGGGCTCAGATGCACACAGTACTCACTAGAGCCCACTGTCACAGCAGAACAACTGCAGTGCTCTCCTGTTGCAGCTCAGTTAAACCAAGTACACACCCAGCCAGGAAAGGTCTTGTAGAGTTCAGGACTGGTCAACTTGGGAACAAAGCAACAGAACAGATGAACTCAAGATCCTGTTAGACATGAAGAACCTCCTTAGGGCTTAGCTTTACACCAAATAGAATTAAGCAAAGAATAATGTCCCAAAATCAGGAAGGCTCTTTAGAGAAAGCACAGATTTTACAGTATTAAGTCTAACCTCCACATGGTTTAGTTCAATTATTTTTTCACAATATTACATTTCATTTATATTTGTATTGCTTAATCTATTTTCCTACTGGGATAATATAGCAAACAATAGCCCTGCATCTCTATCAGTTTTAATCCTGTTAGTTTATATGATAAATAGGAAATCCTTAATACAGAAAACTTAGTACGAACTCCACATCTCAACAAAACACTAACTTGAATAATTACATTAGTCCCAGCCAGATACATGCCAGAGATTAAACGGAGGCCAAATTTAGTATTTTACTGTGTTTGCAACACAGCCAGAAACTCTTTTTTTCCTTACATTTCAGCATAGCACACCAGCTCTTTTCCAGCTCTCACCATCCTCATTACCAGTATTGCTTTGATTTTCTCCTCTTCCAGGAAAAGAAATCTCAGACCTCTCCTTAGATACTTTTCTAAGGAGTGTTACAAAGAGCATGCAGGAAATTATACTGAAAAGTCAGCTTGTAAAACAAAGAAACTTTCTTTAATGGGACCTTGCACCATGTTTCAAGCCATGCTTTTTTCTTCCTTATATTACAACACAGAGATAATTATGGTTCAAATTCTGATTGTGTTTGTTTTCACCTGCAGAATAGGAACTATTCTTAATTAGTATATAAACTGTCAATGGCTGATGCTGTAAACAGCTTTTATACAAGAGCTAGCTGAAGCAGAATAGAGATCTTCACACAAAAAGGAAAAACAAAGTAATAGTTATCAAAATTAAATATGTGGGAGTATTTATTCATATAAAAACCAAATACACTGGTTGAAAAATATACAAAGCTTTATAAATCAAGTCAAGCTATATTAGTTTTAACAAACATAATAAATACACATATAAAATACAACCTCTTTTCATTTGAATTAAAAAAAAACATTAAAAACTTTCAGTATAAAAAGTTTCCAACCTTGCTCCAGTGCTTGAAGAATGAGTCCATATAACTCCACTGACCACAGTCCTCCCAGTGTGCAGATCTGTGTGTGCATTGGGTAGCAAAATGCTTCTCAAGTCAGAAGTGCTCTGTCTCCACAGCTCCTGGGAAGGTGTGAATAGAATCCACACAGTGCCTCTACTTGCCAGTCTTCTCCAAAACCCATTCAATCACCTGGGCAAATAAATGAGAAAGCAAAAAATTTACATACCTCCTGGTTTTGAAAGCAAATTAAGAGCAGTTCATAGTTATTAATTCTTTCTTTAGTCCTTTGTCACCATCTGTGTATTATTTATTAAACAGGATTTAAAAGCAAACTACTCAGGAGAAGAAGGTATTGTTAATAATCTGAGAGGATACAGCATTACCCTAGAATTGTATTTAATCTTACAGAATGCTTTGTCTTTAGGAAAAGGCATTTTTAGAACCCCTGAAATGAAATACTTCACCCCATTCTCTCCAAATACCAGCAGGAAAGTGCACATAATGCCAAACAGCCAAACTTTTACTTCCAGCAGTAAAAGTTCCTAATCCCAGAGAAGAAAGAATGAAGCATAATTTGTGCACTGCTGTCTCTACCTGCATTATCACTGCTGCTTTCCAAACAGGGCAGTTGTTCAGACCACTGACTAAATACTCTCTAATACAGAGACATAAGCAGTTTAGGAGAACACCAATTTTAATGCCTTTTGCCAACAGCAAATATACAAAAACTGACCAATTTTCTACCCAAAGATGGAGGTGAGAAGCAGTGTATCTGCACAATAGCCCAGTTCAACACCAAACATCACAACCCAATAGATTTTGAACCTTATCATTGATACAAAGCAATCCACAAAGGAATACAGCACAGAACACAGAAATACTGCTCTCATAGAATAAGTTCTCTAGGGATCTAGCAGCTTTTTTTCTATTACTTACCCACCTCAGTTCAAATTCTTCCATATAATTTATAATTATGAAAATTGCACTGTAATTCTGCATTATGCTTTTTTCCCTTTTTTTTCTCCAAATCATGGAGTCACTTCAGTGTATGTCTCAGAACTCAGTACCAGAGTTACTTAATTTCTGGAGGAATATTTACTTCTGTCATTTGCTCTGTGCTGCTGTGCATGTAAGTCCCACATTATGCACAAATAACCCCACCTGATGTCCCTTGTGCTTACAGTTACTCACAAGCCTAAAATTACTCATTTTCAATGCTTCTTTTAAAAAATTTATTTCCTTTTATAGACCTGCTTATTACTTCCTAACCTCTGAAATGTTATTTCCTTCAACACTAGAAAAGAAGAACTCCCTAATGATCCTAATTAAAGAAAAATTTCATCTTTTTTTTTTTCCTGTTTGTTTGTTTCAGTGATGTAGAAACATTTATTGTCTTCATTTCTATTTCTCACTGTGGCACATCATCTTGGCAGCTGTAACTAAAATACCATCCAATACCTGGAAATCTTCCCTTGGAACTACTGCCTGACAGTGAGATCAGAGTGAAATGAGACCCACATGCACCTTTCATCTCTTAAAGCTGTGGACTAAACCATCCTGTAGTTATGTACAGGAATAAGTAAACACATGGTCTTACCTGCTTAGCATTGCTATTTGCTGTTTTCTTCATTTCATCAAGAAGTCCTCTAGAAGTTTTTAGGTCCTAAATATGAAACAAAAAGCCACAGAAGTCAGCATACAGTCACTCTAATTTGGGTTATATGAGCCCTGATAACCAGGACAATGTAGCACTTTTATCACCTTGTTTGGAACAAAAGAATAATTATTTGCCTTTGCTTTTTTAATAAAAAAAAGAAAATAATTTAAATCTATTCCAATGGGCTGCAGGTTTCCTTACAGCAGTCCAAACCTAGTTCTCAATTATGATTGAGTCTTCCTAAATTTCTGCATTTTTCTGCACAATTTCCAGAATTTTTTTCTTCAATGATATTCTAAGTTCTTACACTCTTGACTGAAATCCTGTTTCTATATAAACATGGAAATCAGCTGTGAGCTTACCCTGCAATACAAAGTGCTGGCAAAGAACAGAGAAGCAGACATCAGAAAGGAAAACCAGTGCAGAAAAGGGAAAAAATCTAGAATGGCTTTTTTTTCTATTTTGCAGTCCATTTAATGAGTGCAACCTCATCCACTCTTTTAAACAAAGCAAGAACAAAACCTTGCCTGGAAAGAAAGAAAATGCATTTACTACTTGCCTCCAGAGGAAAATGACACCTATGTTACCAAGTTTTTGAATTATGCAGCACACAAAAGGATTCAAAGGATTCCCACAGACTTGGAGCTGCAAGACAGCACAGGAGAATCCTGTGACACCTCTCTCTAGAAAGGACAAGATCACTGCCATATTCTTCCTTTTCCTTTTCTACTTGAAATGGAACCACAAACCCTGATTTGCTCTACTTATACATCCCTACCTGCAGCCCTTTCTGATTTTGGATTAGATCTTCCTTCAGGGCATATTTCATGGAGATGTTGGGAGCACTTACAGAATGACTGCACAACTGTGTTCCAATTATTTAAGAAACTGATGCTTATCAGCAAGATGTTCTGATTGTGTGAGCATCCAGCCCTGCTCAGCTTTCTTTTAGCTTAAAGCACCATTACTGAAGTAATGGTGACTAAACTGAGCTGGTTCACCCACAGTGATAGGTTAAACACATGCAAATGAACAGAACAGCAGCTCAGCTGGTGAGCAATAGCTTTTAATCACTCCATACTGTAATTAACTTGATTTTGAGCTCAGACCAAGTAAGATGGGCTTCAGCATTGACTCACAGTCTCCTAGGTATTGTGGAAAGAATTCTCATCTCCCCCTAAACATGAGGTTGATGCAATTCTACAGGGTGCTCTGCTGAGCCAGTATGTGTTAGATAATAGAGAACATCATGTCAGGGAACTGCAATTTCTGAGTCAGTTCTGTAAGATCCTTACTGAGCCAACAACCTTAGAACAAGGGAGAAAGCTGAGCTGTCACAGCTACAGCTGGGAGATACTCTATTGCCTGTCAGCTGCTGCAGCTCTTAAGAGTGACCTAACCTAACAGGGCCATGCTTTAGCATATTATTTCACTATGTATAAAAGGCTACTGCTTTAGAAGGTTTTAAAACAAGCAAAACCCCACCAAGCTATATTGCAAAATTACCTTTTCCATTTGACAAGTCCAAAGGTCTCTCCACACAATCTACACATGACTAACACACCACTGGGAAATACTAGCTTAATCAACTCTGAATTTCCCACATGCTAGCTCACGTTTTATTTAGAAGTGGTTTCACTTAACTAAGAATAAAGAACTGTAAGAGTGTGCCTTCTAGTTACCTTTAAGTAGAATTTTGATATCTCAAATAGACGCTGGCTGCATGATGCAAAGCACTTATGATCTTCTGCAATTCCATGTTTTTGAAGAGTCTTAGCAACCACCTCCTTCAGCATCTTGGAAACAGAAGAAAACGAAAAATTATCCATGGGAAGCAAAAAAGCCTAACACAGAAAACCTGATCTTTTGGGATCTTGCCTGTCTTTAATCTATTGCCAAACGTGATCAGCTCACTGCCTGAATATGAGCAGTTCTTTAACAGTCTATTTCCATTTCCTTAATTTTAAAATATTAAGAAAATGCTTACATGTCAAGGATCAGTGAACAAAGATCACATGCAGCTTGGAAGATAAAAAGGAAGTCAATATTATCTTGGGTATTTTCTTCTCCAAAATAATATATGTAAAATTATCACTTTTTGCTGTACTGATAGTCCTTTGTTTGATACACACATACAAAAAAAAATTAAAAATCTGACACTAAAGTCTCATTAGATAATTTCCTGACATCTTTTACATCAGAGATGTTTAAACTCTGCTGTAGGTCTCAATGAGTCACACCAATTTATGCTTCCTTGGACCATTCCAACTTGCCTTTGACAGTATCTTAAGATTCTTGCAGTGTTCTCCTTGTACCCTGGGATTAATTTAAAATTTATATCACCAAGTCAGAAATAGTTTTGTGTATTGTATTTAGAAGAGGCATTCCTAATATACACAGCTAATAATTAGACATTATTCCACCAAATTATTTAACTCCTATCTCAATTAATGGATTTATAAAACTACAGGAATCTCTTTATTCACAGACTAGTCTGGTCCTCTACAATGCCTTTGACCCTTCCAGAACATGTATCTCTTTGGTGCCTTTAGGTTTTACATTAATCATCTATATTTCATAACTCTTATTAATTGCTATTCATTTCCACCTTTTTTATTCCTCATTGTTATCTCTCTCAGCATTACTTTTCTGGGCATGATAAAATTTTCTTTGCACACTTTTTCATTCTTTGCTTCTGCAGCACCCTCCTCAGTGATTCACTTACACAAGTGAACAGAATGAAATTCAGTAACAAAAACTGGTTGAAGATAATTCATCTTGAGTTAAAAAATGTTTACAAATCAAGTCCCATGGAAGGAAGTTAAAGAGCTCTTCTTCACTAAGAGAACAAGGCAGATTTTTACCCTGGTGTGTTTCTGGGATCTCGACTCCTTCTCTGGCCGCGCAGGCTCGGGCTGTGCGGCCGCTCGGTGGCCGTGGCCGGGTGGGTTCGATGGCGCTGCAGCCGCCCCAGGGGACCTGTCCCTGTCCCTGTCCCTGTCCCCGTCCGAGCGCTTCCTCGGCACAGCCACTGCACGGTGACTCCTGCTGCTGCTCCCCCCTGCCTGCCACAGCAGCGACTCTGTGCTCTCACATCTGCTCAGCCTACAAAGAACACGAAAAAACCCTGTAAAAGTCACTCAGGTTTTGTACCGACTCTTTTAGTGCCATTGTTTCTGCTAGACAGGCTGCTGCTTCAGAGCAGTAAGGACTGAGCATTCCTGCAAACAACATCTGAAAACAGCAGACAGGAAGACAGGATTCCATTCTGTAAAATATTTTGTATTAGAAGAGCACTCTGCTGACTGGATTGGGCTGTGATATGTAGACCCATTGCACCTCTGATTAAAAAGGTCTAGAAACAAACTGAAGAAATCAGGTAACTAAGATAATAAAACTCTTGGGAAGAGAATTGGCCTACAGTCTTTGGATGAGACAAAACTTCTTCAAACTATCTCATTTCTTTTGGTTCTACAGGAATGTCACAACTCATCTTAACTACAAGAAGTTGAGCATCATAATTCTATGGGAACATTGTAATCCTTGATCCTTCAACTGTAAGAGGATTAGTAATTCCAAATGCCAATTTAGAAAATGTTAAGTATAATCACATCTTCTTTTCTAACTATTCAGTAAGCTGCAAAAGACATACTTATTTCTAAAACCAGACATCTGTAAAAGGCTTATGGCGATTAGAATGCAAAGGCTATCAACCTGGAAATAAGGAAGACGTGAAGTATTACAGTAAAAAAGTGAATTTGGAAATCTTGTTACCTAGCAGCTATTATTCAGTGATAGAGTTTGCATCTTCTGAGTGAGGACAAGATAGAAAGGGAAATCTTTAAAACTAAACTTCCAGAAAAGACTTTAATAAACAAGGCTGACAATAAGATTGGATTTTGGTAGGTCATCTTATGCCAGCAGTGCTTTGGATTAGAAATTCAATTATTCTGTTTGTACAATCCTTGGCTTTCTAAACCTTTAGTTGTTTATTCCTAGTACAGGAGCCTTGACTGTTTCAATCCTAGATGAAGCTGTCATCTTTTCAAAAGCACTTGAGACTGCAGGATATAACCCCAAATCTGTTAAACAAAGTGTGCCTGTGCTGCATGGTTTTGATTAATCTAATGCCATCGATGAGAGATCACACTTGAGGAAAAAAAATGAACCTACAGAAGAGGATTAAACAACTAGAACATTTGCCTAGATAGCTTCACTAAAACATTTTGAAATGAAAAGATGCAGCTCACAAGAGACCACTGAAACATTTCATGCTAAAGATTCATTTTATTCAGTGCATTACCTTTTCTTGGGATAAAAGTAATCCAGGTCTTTTGATCTGCGTTTTAGCCTTGATGTCTCTGTTTTGAATTCACTTTGCAAAGTCTCTCCATCAGGGACACTTCCAGGCTCTGACAAGACTGCAGGAGATGGGAGAGGACTCAGGACAAGAGGCACAGGGCAGCACTCTTTGGTACAAGTAGTCTGAGTTTCATAGCGAATAAGGCGAGTTTGAAGTTCAGCATATCCCACATCTCTTTCCAAGGCTCTTCTGTCATCAAGACAGTATCTAAAATTGAAATTGGGTGAGAAACCTGTGAGAGAAAGTCTCTGTTTTATTACAATCAAAAAACTTACTTCTGACAGTCATGTGAACTCCAAAGCCTTTTTTTTATTTGAACTACTATACTGTTCTGAAATACAACTTTTAACAGCCCAATAAATTAATATTTGCCTGGATTTTGCTCTACTTAAGTCCAACTCCAACAAAGAAGCTGAATTATATACTATTTGTAACTCTTTACCCTGTTCTTGTAAGATTCAAACTCTTTGAAATGCAACTTTTAGCTTTGTCTGAGATAAACACTGCTGTATGAGAGATTCACATTTTTTAAGCACTAAAAATACAAAAAAGTATCACTGAACAAGCACAAGCTTCCTATTGACTACAATGAATAAGTGGTTTGATCAACCAAATCAACAGAACAAACTGTAATAACAACAGTGGGGCTGAAAGATAACAAATGAACAAGTGCTAACTCAGTGAAACACACATGAGGTAACACAGAATGCATCCTAACTAACTTTTCTCTGGTATAAACGATTTCCAGGATTACTTGCAAGAGAACAGTGTTTCATCACCCAGTAACTTACTGTAGTGCAGGGAAAGGTAACAATAAACCGTGTCTTATTCCAGCCTCTGTTACAAATTGTTTTAAGCAGTGTGAGCTCTTGCTCTGCCCACCCATCAAACTGCTCAGCAATGTTTCCTACTCTCATGAATGCAAGAAACATTCTTTACTTTTATCTCTTGGCATGGAGTCATGTTAAATTGCTAGTTCTGATGTTTCCATTTTCTTCGGAGTATTTTCATATTCAGGGAGAAATTAATTTTTCTAATAACTGGCTGATGAATCAAATTTCTACAGTTGAGGAAGACTTTCTACTAGAAATAAATTCATTATCTGATAAGAGAGTAAGCTATCTGAACTTCAAAATTTCAAGGTATTTAATTTTTCTTATTTATATTCTCAGTACCCTGAGTAGTCACATACCCTACAAAGATAAAAAAATCCATTTAGCTTTAGAAGTTAAAATGCTATTTTACTCACTGCTTTAATGGCAATTGCTTTCTCTGCGCAAAACAGCATTCAAGTGTCTGGCACATGTTCATTACACCAAAAATTTGACTTAATCATAAATAGGAACAGCCTGATGTTCACAAGTCCTGGTCTTCATGGGGGGCTTCAGCCATCCCAATAATCTGTTGGAGGACCAATATGAGGCAATCCAGGACGCTCCTAGTCTGCACTGGTAACTTCCTTCTCTGAGTGAGGTGAGGTGTTGTGCTGGATCTTGTGCCCACCAAGAAGGAGGGGGTGGTGTGGAATGTGAAGCTCAAGGGCAGCCTTGGCTGCAGTGACCATTAAACAGTGGAGTCTGGGATGCTCAGGGCAGCAAGGAGAGCACACAGGAAGCTCACCCCTGGAGTTCAGGAAAGCAGTTTGCCATTGACACAGAGCTCTGTGGCATGGTCAACACTAGAGGGAAGGGATTCCATCCAGAGGCTTGAGAGGTGGCCCTGTGCAAACCTCATGAGGTTCAGCAAGGCCAAGTGCAAGGTCCTGCACTGTGTAAAGGCAATGCCAGCAATAATACAGGCTGAGTGAAAAATTAATTAAGAGCAGCTCTGGGGAAAAAAATGGGAGATGTTGGTGTCCCTGCCCATGGCATGGAGGCTGCAGTTAGATGATATTTAAGGTCCCTTCCGACTCAAACCATTCTATGATAACTGCTGCTCCCTGGTTTTTTGACAAGACTTTACCTCCAAATATAAATACAGCAGCTGGGCAGATGAAAATTGCATAGTACCAAACACATCTGAATACTCTTGTTACAATATGTTCTGGTCCTACGCTACCTCCCACTCTACTGCTTCCCTCCCATTCTGCTAAGCACACTGCCCTTGCAATATTAATATGCCTGGATCTTCCTCCTCTCCACAACACCCTGCAGTCTATATCTGTCCCATTTTGCTAGAAGAGGCAGCACAAGCTGTGCTGTGCCTAATTTGGAATCTCAGGCACACTCCTTGCTGAGGTCAGGCAGGGCAGCAAGATATCACATAGCAACAGACAACAGACAAGTGGTTTCTTCCCACACCTGCCATAGGCATTTCTCTTTTCTACCCAGTTGCCTCTCTGTGCCACTTATTACAAATCTAAAAAGGCTAACAGGCTCATGAATTACTGCTTAGAAAAAGCGATAACTAAAGAGATAGGAGTGCTCCATTGCCCTGTAAAACTTGACTAAAATCAGCAGATACTAAATACAGACTTAATCAAATTATTTGTAAAATCAATAGGGAAAAAATACCAGCAGCATTGTCAGTCAATTCTGATAATCTGAAAATGTGATTTTAGGAGGCAGCAGAAGCTTGCACAAAAACTGAACTAACTATGCTTGGTATCCACTGCATTTCTTAATATATGCTGCAATAAGACTGTCTCTACGGAAGAGTTATGCTTAATTATCTACTCCAGCATTTTTATAGCCTTTTTCCTTTTCTTCTCAATGTCAATATTTGTACTTTTCTAAACTATTTTTATGCAGCTACATTATGTGACAGTTTGCCCATTTGTCTGCTTTGACAAATAACTATTGCTGGCTGGCTGAGATGAACTAACAGTCCTAGCCATATGGATCCTTTAGAACAGCCTTACCACCAACACTTGCCTGCTGGTGTTTTCAGGCTCCCTGAACATACAGGTGGCAGTATCACAGCAGCTCTCATTAAACCTTTTGACTATCAGTCATAAAGTGTCAACAATTAAATATCAAAGCAGAAACTATGCATGTACTTAAAACGTGCTTCACTAGGAATTTGATATGTACTAATTCCCTTGCCATTTGTAGCTCTGAATTAAAATTTTCAGAGACACTGAGAAGAGACACAGCAGTATAACTGAGAAAAAAAGACCTTCAATGTTTCTACATTACCATCAAGGCCGCAATGTTGGAATTGAAACCACTGACATTTAATCCATAATTAACATACCCTTAACATGTTGCTTGAAACATTTCTAATTACACTTAGACTGGAAACTAAAGAGTAAATCTGAGAAAAGAAGCCAGGAAACTTACTCAAGTCCATGGTAATGGCATCCAGCTGCTTTTTCAAAAGGCAAACCTCTGAGTTTTCGAGGAGTAAGGTCTGGTGTCAAAAGAAATGCATTTTCACTGAAAGGAGGAAAATAAAGATTTACCATCAGGATAAATTGTATTTCCAAAAATCAGAAACAAATGCCTTCACATATGGAGAACAAAACAGTATGTCCTGCAGCTAAGCCCCTAGGATAAAGCATCAATGGAAAATTAAATCTGCATTGAAGCAAGAATTTAAGTTCAACTAATTCCTACTGAGCTATTATTGCTACAGAAGCTCTTAGACATTTCTTAGATGGTTAAGGTCACTGCTCCAAACAAGTTATCAAAAATCTGGGCAAATATCACAATGGGACACCTGAGTGGTAGAATGAGCTGAGAGGAACTGGGAAGTGACCTCCCATTTCTCAATCACACACTCTAAGTAGTGAATTCCTTCACCTTCAAATTGTTGCCTCACCTAACACTCATCTTTCCCAGCCTTCAGAACTAATGGCTTGTTTCCTGGGATATTTCAATTCCAGCTAGCAACTCTCTACAGCTAAATCATAAGAGTGTATTTGTTTGAGGGTATTTCAAGGGAATAAGCCATAGCAAGGCAGATAGAAAGATCTGCTGCCAGATCTCAACATACCCTGACATTTACCTCTAAAGAAGGGAAGACAAAAAGGCAAGATGTAACAGAATCTGAAACTTACACATTGCTTCAGATTTTATTCATATAGACTCCCTCTACACCATTTCCACTGGAATAATCTGAGAAAAACATCCAGGAAAGATGTAACACTGAATCTAGCAAAATGATAATTTGGAAAGACTGTCAGCCAAAACTGTAATCCATCAAACTTCTATCTAAGCTCAAACACAGAACACAAGGGAACATGCCTTTAATTCTCTCTCAAAATCTCTTCAATCCTTCTGTTGGTCAGGAAGATCCTTAGATCCATATTCACTGTTCTTCATCACCTACCGTGCAAAGCTCCTCATAATTCCAGAACATTTACTCAAAGCAACTGCTAGGGGAGTGAGCAGCTCGGAGTAAAGTGTTCTGCTGGACTCAATTCAAATTCAGAGCTCACTCATCTGTAGCTCAAAGCAAATCGTTCAAGACACTCAAGGTATTCTATGCCTAAGTGCTTCTCTGGAGGCTTTGAAAAAAATCAAAGACTAAAAAAAGATTTTTTAGTGAAAAATTATTCACTTCTTTCCCACATAACTAGTTGGAAGGAAAATATTTTTAGCCAAAATTCTAAATCTTCTCCACTCATTAACAACCCAGTAGGAGATTCTAAATCTTTACAGTATATTTTTTAATTTGCTTGAATTGTCTGTTCAGAATATATTCAGTTTAGTTTCAAAACTTCAGTAACAATTTTACAGAAGTCTCAAAAATCCTCCAGAAAATCCAAAATACTACAGAACCTTTCCCTCACACAAGCACTCTTGTTACATATAATGAAGTCTGAAAAAGGATCAAGGGCTGTATCAAATAATTACATCATAGTTTTTATTATTCAGTATTAAAAAGGTCAACAAATATAACTGTAGTGACTGCAAAGACTGTCTTGCCTACCTAGCACTCTGTGACACATTGCACAAAAATAGTACAGGTTCTGCTTCTACAAACACCATCTAACTCTTCTAGAGTCTGGCCTTAACTCTAATAGATGTACAGATCCTGAAAATTATACCAGTAACTCCATGAATCTATAAAAAAGCATGACAGGATACAAACACAGTTAAATAGGCTCAGATATTTTCTTATTTTGTCTTCCCACCTAGACTTCCCTCCACTGAAAGAAATCACACCCAAAAAATTAAAGCTCTACCACAGTAGCTTCTGCTTTACTAGAAATACTCTTTTGGAAATGGACATATAGGGCAGCAGCAGCTTGGCAGGGCTCTACCAGTAACAAGTTTGTTGTTCAGGTGATGATTTTGTTATTTAAATGCCTAGGACCGAGATCATCATCTCCAGCCATTTCTGAAAGAACTAAATAGCAATACTGACCGGAGACCAAACCAGTTCATTTCACTGGCAGGCATGTGACATAAGGATGTTGCAAGTTATAAAGTCAAACCCAGTTAGGCCATTCTGTGACTCCCATTCCACCCTTTTTACACCCCCTTACATCAGCTGTGAGTTTGGTGCTAGTGGCTCTAGGATGCTCATACCGCTTGGGAACTTGCAGGGGCTGGAGCTCCCCCACGGGCAGCCCCTCTGGGGTGAAGAACTTGAGCAGCTCTTTGGCATCCAGCAAGGTCAGAGACTCCCTCTGGCTGTCCTTGTGTCCCAGCAGCTGCTCAGGTGAATGTGCAAACAGAGGAACTCTGCAAAAAAGGCGGCGAGCAAAGACCAATCTAAGATTTTTTTTTAATAAACTCATAAACTCATTTAATATTAAAAAAAATAAAATCATTGCCACTCTGGAGCAATTAAACTAGTATCAAAGTAAAATGAACAGAAAATGTTCCTTGAGAACGTTCACACAAATGTTCATGACAAATAACATGATAATTGGTGCAAATTCTCTAACATTTGACTGAAGAAAGTAGTTTCTTCAAGAATTTAGAGCGTGGTTATGAAATACAACATTGGAAGATGATTATTCGCCCTTTTTTTCTGTTTTTTGACCAAAAATTTGTTCCCATTAAAAAAATTAAAAATATACAATATACAGGAAAGGAACAATAAAGTCACTACTGCACACAACCCTCCACTCTTTTTTTGTGTCTTCAATCAAGTACAAAGTTCTCCCTTTGTAAGCAACACATTGTATCCTGACACAGGGTAAGAAAGATACTCAGTTCAGATTCTGAACAATAAAATTAACACTGACTATGTAAGAGAAAGGTCCTTTAGGAAGCTTTTTGACAGCTAATTAAAAGGAAGAACTTTACCTGTTTGAGAAACAAAAGCCAATAATAATAACAATAAGGATGATGATGATGATGATGATAGTAATACCACCATGAGAAAGCTAATGTGAGAATTTACCATGTGCAGAACTCCAATCTAAGCCATGGCCACCTATGGTACTTGAGAGAAACGGGATGGAAGTGACTCAGAAAAGGACAGCTGGACACTTGCCTCTACAGGTCTGTCAGCAAGAACATTAACATTACCAAAGACCATTAAGCCACAGAGTCCCAGCATTGGCTGAGCTGGAAAGGACCACAAGGATCACGGAGTCCAACTCCTGGCCCTGCACAGCCCCAATCCCCGAGAGTCACACCCTGAGCCTGAGAGCATTGCCCAAACTCCCCCTGAGCTCTGTCAGTGCTGTCACCACTGCCCTGGGGAGCCTGTTCAGTGCCCAACCACAGCCTGGGTAAAGAACATTTTCCAGATACCCAACCTAAACATCCCTTGACAAGTCTTATATAAAAGTGAGAGCTCAACTGAAATCAACAGGCTGCCTTAAGTGACACAAAGACCTATGTGTTTCATGTGAACAGTACTGAAGGTAAAACATAACTAAATATGAATTTAAACATAAAACCGATAGGCACTTTGACTTCAAAATTACTTGGTATATCATATCAACTATTGACTATCAACTATTGATATATGTTATCAACTGACTATTTAGGAAATATGAGAAGATTAGAACATGCTGCACATGTTGACAAAAACAGCTAAATTATTTATATTTATTAGGGATGTTGTGAGAAAGAAAAGCTTTTGTATGTTTTCCTACTATTTTCTAGAAGTGCCATTTTGGTAATTTAGTTTTAGAACTATTATACTTTTAGCTACCTTCCAGTTAATTTAGTCAATAAAAATCAAAACAATACTTCTTTAAATACCAATAAACTACACCTTTGGAAATAGACAAAAATATAGTTTTAGCCTTAAGCAATATTTTCTTTGAAAGATTATCAACATGTGAAAACAGTTTACACTATGGTTATCAACATATAAAGTTCCTCTATAGTAAAGTTTAATGGCTGCTCCAAAGAAAATCACCAGTATTTCATTATTACCTCATTTTTTGTTTGTTTTTTTCAAAGTTTTCCAAATTCTGAAGAACATGTCTTTCTGGCCATTCCAATGGATTTGGCTCTATTAAGTCAGACTCTGCAAGAAATAAATGTTGAACAATCCTAAATAAACAATCTTATTCCTTAAAGAGACAGATATACAGTCCTTTATCTATAGATACTCCTCAATGCCACTCTCTAAAAAGTATGTAAACAAAATACAACATTGGTGATGCAATCAGAAATGTTTTCTGGACTTTTTTTTGTCAAGGAAGAAAAAAGAAATGCAAGGGTAATTTCAGTTTGCAAAATAAGCCTAGAAAGCTGCTTTACTTTTTCTTTCCCCTTTTGTTAAAAATTACTCCTTTTAGTAAAAGATTGACAACCAGTATGAGAAAACATCCAAGGAAAATAAGCAGCAAATTTTATAAATAAAAAATACTTACCACAAGTCTCAGTGCATGACCTGGTTTTATTGCAGACCTTCTGTAGAACAGGTTTAGGAAGATTAGTGCTGCACAAGTCCAAAAAACATTCTCTTGTGAGTTTTAATAAGCTTTTAAACTCATTGGTAGAAATAACTAGAGGCTGCTTGGTCAATTCCTTTCTCTCTAGAAAAGAAAAAATAAAAGGTACTGCATCTGCTTAGTAACAAAGAACAACAAGAGCCTGCTAAAATACAATTACACAAGAAAATCCCCACCCAGAACCCATAACAAAAGTAAGTTAACTTGACACTTACTATTGTACCAGTAAGACATGGGTGGTTTATCCCAAAGACAAGTGAAAAAACAGCAGTGAGAAGTCACACATGATTCATGTTTTTATTGTCCTTTAGCTTCTGGATGTATGCATTTCTGAGTGTATCCAAGTTTGAATCCCCCAGAGAAAAACACCTGGACTTGCTGAGTCACTGTCAGCCTGTTCTGGTCTCTTTGGTCATAATATCAAGGGTCAGCTAATTTTGGTATGATTTAGGACAATCAGTGAATTCCAACTGCTCCTACTCAGCCTCTTAATGGAAATGGATGACTGACTCAAAAGAAACTAAAACACAAACTCTAAAGCAGGCCCAGCCTCAGGGTTGAAGCCGACAGGAATCTGAGAATGACTAAGTTAGCAGGGGGTGTGGGGTGGGAGAAAAGACTACTTATAGAATCTTATTTTCTTTAAGCTGCTATTCTGTTAATGATAATACACTTAAATTACCTCTACAGCATGCCATTTTCAATAAGCCAGACAATCACTCTGAAGCATTTTTTCTTTTAATTGAGTCTCTTTAAGCAATGGACTTAAGATGGAAAAAAAATCAGGACACTCAAATGGACTTCTCTGCAATGTCAAAAATCTAAGGAGGATGATCCTTCAAGTTTTTATTATGAATGATGCAATCATGATAACTCTAAAAAATCTCCAATGCATGGTTTTCCTCTGCTGCTTAAGACTTTTCAAAGAAAGAGTAAAATTTAAAAAGCTGAAAAACTCAAACCAGAATTCTTATTTTTGTAGAAGGCATATCCAGCAGTAAAGGGGAAATCATCATAGAACTGCATAGAATTATTTCAATGCTATGCTCAAAAATTCAGAGTATTTGTGTAACAACCACCAGCACTAATACAGTGTTCTCTTTTCCATTATCTGACAGATAAACATGGATGTACTTCCAGGTTTCTTTTTAAACTTGTGCTATTTTTTCATAAAGTGATTCACACACTTTGGTTGTCAAACATCTCCAGTTTTGTAAGGTGAGCTATCCCATCCAATGTGAAATAAAGACCTTTAAAATACCAGTTTGAGAATTACCAGAGCTTTCCCATTACTTACTGAGATACTCCTTCAAGGCAAAGACTTGGAGACGTGACAGTTTTGTTTCTCTCTGTACAATATCCTCTCCATAATAGCACGGCAGAGACTTGATAAAGTCAGAAATATGAAAGCCTGTACAGATTAGAAGAAATTTTTATTACAAATCTCTCTTTGGAGTCATTACTTAGCAGAAGATATAAACATAGGAAACATAAAGATCTCATATTCAAAAGAAACAACCAGACTTTCAAGTATGGCTAATCATTGAAAAACCAAACTAATTAATTCCAATTGAACATCAGGAGGATCATTTCTAAGAGATGCTGACTATTTTTGAATTTCTGTACAAAACCTGTATAATGACAACACAACATGACTAACATTTAAAGAAGGTAAAAAGATCCTAGGTTTGATACCACGGAAGAAAAGTTTTCTCCCAACATATGGTCAAGGACTTTCAGTCCTCTGACACTGTACTAATGGGATTTTAATTAGGATAAATGGCTGAGTAGTCAGTCCTACCACACACAGATTTATTTCAATAATAAGGAATTAAGTAGCTAAGATGCAGGTCACTGTTCTCCTTTTCTCTGCCAGTGTTATTGAAGCAAATACAGGAGTTAGTAGAGTTATCTGGTAGGTGCAGTTGTCACATGACAACTACTCCATGATAAATGGCTGCACACCTGCTCTTCCCTAGTGGAGCAGTTAGGAAAGGAGTGCCAGCTCATACCTTAAACACACTGCAGTAACATGGACATGGGCAAAGGGACTGAAGGTTACAACAAAACTCATCTACTGGCCTTGCAGCTTTGATTTAAAATCATCAGTGAAACAGGACTTTCAGGTAATATTTACAAAGATTTTTGGCATGGCCTGGTCAGTCTTTACACCAACAACACACACTTTCTAAACTTTAAGCCTTCACAAATTTGTTCTGCATTAATATTACCTGTACATCCCTTTACAATGAATAATTTTCAACATACCTCGATTATGAGAAATAACTTTGCATAGTCAATTTTAAAAATACGGTAGCAGTAAATTCTGTAAATAAATAAGCTCTTACTATATTTTGTTATGGATCTGGAAAAACATTCTTAAAAGACACTTTCATCAAAGATGTAATATTCCTCCTTGTTTTCCTTATTTTAATACTGACTGGAGTGAATAAAAGGAACTTAAGAAATTTAGAACTTACCATTTGCCTGCATTCAGATACTCATTAATAAATAAGTGATTACTCTTACCTGACTCTGTTTCTTCTGCTTTTGCCTTTAGCTTTCCATTTACTGCAGCAAGAGTGGCCATCCCATTGATCTGACCAGCTGAATGAATCAAGGTTGCTTTACATCCTCCAGAGCCATTGCCTTGTAGCAAGAAATAATATCGGCAAGATTCCCCTTTCAGTTCAATTTCTGGAACTTAACAAACATCAAGACATAACTGTGAAACACCCTCAGGAAAAGATCTTTAAAACAAACTATAATCCATCATCAAAATTCTTTCATTTGCTTTCTTCTGTTCTGTGAGAAATCTTACTAATCACCAACCAAGAGCTCTTTAACTGGGCTAAGTAACAGGCAAGCCTTTAACTGGTGAAGTTACATTTTTACAGGAAATAACAAAGGGAAGTTTCTGTTCTGCTGGGTAAAACCAGGCCTTTCTGCATATGTGCATCAAAATAATGTAAGTGTTCAATGGACAAACATACAACCCTAGAAGAAAAGAAATATTATACATACTCTTCCCAAGGACACTGCATTATTCATTAATAAAAGCTTCACTCCCTGCTTTACCCTTGTGCCTGGATGAAAGATAAAGACATTCTATTTCTGAACACTGGCATATAGAATGCAGTTGTGAAAGTAAATTAATGTGGGACCTGACAGTAACAGTGAAAGGATGGGTTTGCTATCTTTCCACACAGAAAACATTTTATAGCACCTTGGAAGACACAGCAATCAAGATAATGAATACTTCTTGATGTACTAAATTTCAAAAATCAAATATTTTAATTTCATAAGATATTTGCATTACTGTCTCAATAATTAACTCTATGGGAACTTAACATTTATTAGTATCATAAATTTTTGTTAGCAAGAAATAACATATTCCCGTGTTTGTTGAAAATTTATAGTTGGACATGGGAAAAGAGGGTAAACCCCACTACCTGAATACATAAATTCAGAGAAAGAAAAAAGAACAATAAAGAAAAAAATGTTCCATAAACGTCATATTGTCCTGTTTCCCATGTCATTTGAAATATATTCCTTCCAGTTTATCTTGGAATCTCAAAGCTGATTCCTGATGGGTAAACTTTGATTTCACATTTTAATCTTAGCGTTATACCAAGAATTATACCTTCCGCACAGATGGGAGAGATTAAGGATTGACAAATCCTTAGTACAGTGAGATTAGTGTTAGCCACTAAAAATCAACAGTTTTCAACTAAACAAAAGATGCACTTAAAAAGCAATGTTTCTCCTTCTATTGTAAATTTTACTCAAGAGGGTTAATAAGAACCTATTGTGTATTACTGATCACACAATAATTAATACTTGTACAAAACCCTTCCACTGGAGCACAGGACAAATATCCTGCAAACACTGGGGATCTTGTGCTCAAGGCCCAGAACAACTCTTCAAGGACATTTTCATGGACAAAGTAGTGCTGAAGGGCGGGCTCCAAAGAAGGGGCTTGACCTAGAGGGAGGGGGATTTACATCACCCTTTGTCCTCCTAATTGGTGCTTTTTATCAATAATGCTAATTTCCTAAAACCTATAAAAGTACTCATCCCCTGGGGGGGTGGGCTTTTGTGGACATCTTTCCATAACTGCCTCTGAAGGCCTTCATTAAAGAACCTCTTTTATATTACCTCCTCACTAAAATTATCTCAAATTTCATTTCCAGGTTGGGAAAAAGGCAACACTGCCAGCACCCATTCCATAATTCATCTCCATTTTTTCCTGCCCCTACACCTGAAAAAAATATTAGTCACAAATATGAGACATCCTGATGTGCATAGTTGTTTAAAAATTTTTTTAAGTTGGCAACAGAAACAGCCACTGTTCCTTGGAATCAATATGAATAACATATTAGACCACGTATAAATGACGAGATTATGAAAGAAGGCAGAATCCAGCACTTCACTGTATCCCAGGTAAGTCCTTTAAGCACTGGGCTACCACCAAGTTCCTTTTAGCCTGATGTTTTCATGTGCCTGCAAACCTCAGTCACTGCTTGTACAGTGCCTCCACTTGCAGGGCACATTTACTGCCTGACTGAGAAACTTTCCCCAGCCTTGGTCTGCACTGATTCTCTTCTCCCACCTTCTGAATCAGGTTTCTAAGCACTGGCACAGGGTGTGAGAGTCAGCTGCCATCACTGCAGCCCTACAGGGAGCACATTCTCAACCACAGGTTTAGCACACTGGCTCCCAGGTGAATGGAGGCATTCAGCATTTCTTAATAGTCTGTATTTTCCCAGGAAGAGATTGAAATTAAATGCAAGTGCACTGAAGAACCTCTGGAAATGCTTAAACAAGAAGGGAAGAACCTCAGTGAAACAGACTGGAATTCCATCTGCAGAAGTAAACCTCTCTACCACAGATTTTACAATCACCTTACAAAGATGTGTGGAAATTGGATCTTAACTGACAGACAGGACACAAAAATGGTTCTTTCCCCAAAGCTTGCCATGATGTTACCATTTTTCTTCCTACAAGTCTGCATAGCTGAACTTGCATTGACCAAATCTCATGTCAATGAAGATTACAATCACTGATTTGATTTCATTGAAGTTAGAAAGAAAATCCCAAATGTACAGAAAAAACTCACCGTGTATACACACACACACATATAACCAAACAAAATACACGTACCAGAAATAACTTTGGGTTTCTTAGCCATATATTCCTTCCATTTCTTGGAGCTCAGCTGGGCAGGAGATGGGATCACTACACTGCTTACATTACAAGGCAATGTAAATAAAGCTCCCACCTAAATAAGGAGAGCAAATATAACACATGCAATATTAGTGAAACCTGTTTTACACTTCATTCTTGAGCTACTGTTTTGACATTATTTCAAATCTAGTTGAACTGTAGAAAAACATCTCCACTAAACATACCTGTCATTCACATCAATCAAAATGGAACTGCATTTGACACAAAAGCTGTAAAAATTGCGTTTACTTTTTGGTCCAATTGAGGGATCATTAACTGCTGAATTTCCATTTCATACATAACAAGGTATTTATTATATATTGCAAGTGTCTCCATAGCCTGGCTACAAACTTTTTTGTAGAGCAGTACAATGAAAAGAGAATTCAAGGATAATAGTTGGCATCAGTGACTCTGCATTCCTATGAAAAATTTTTTTTTTTTATTTTCCTTCCAACATATTACCCTTGTGTCTTAACTAGATACTGGACTATGCCTATGTTTCTACATAGACTTCAGACCAATAAGCACTAACACAAAAACTGCAGACATATTTGAATACTCAAGTAATAAAGCAATGCTATTGTAGGCTTTTCTAATAGCTGTAAATGTGCAGTATTTCCAGTAGGAGACTGAAAAAAAAGAGAAATGAGAAACTTATTTTCAAAATATTTTCAATTCAACATGTGCAGACTCTAAAAATTAACCTGAGAATGTGTTTTCACTGTTTGGGCACCTTCTTTAGAAACAGCAGAAAAAACGTGAGCCCTATGATTGTAAAAGGTGTATGACCAAGTGTTCAGTGTTCTTAAGCAAAATGAAGATTACCTGGGATATTTACCAGTATAAAACCATTTTAAGATACATTTAAGATACATTTAGTACAGCATTAAAAAAAGGACCTTTTTGCGGAGGGGATCGTATGTGGCCCGAAGTTTAGAATCCGACTAGCTGAGGGTGAAAGGCCGACGCCCCTCTGCAATTCCTGGCCAGCACCCTTCGGCGTCTGATGGCCTCGGGCTGTGCTGGCTGCGGACTGGCGTACCTCGCTGGTATAGGAGAGGAACGGAGCTGACCATTTCCCGGGGGTTAAACATCGGTTTATTGAAGGTGATGCCGCATCCAAACACCGGGAAACCATCCGAGAAAAAGTTCTTTTTCATAGGGGGTGAAAACAGGATTATAAAGGAAGGAGGTGGGTACAGGCAGAGCCAATCGGGAAAGGTGAGGGGATGAACTTCACAGAACTGACACTCCATGGAGACCAATAATCAAAAGGTAAAGGAGGTGTCCTGGGACCCCAGCCAGCCACCATCTCCAGAGAGGAGAAGGTTCTCGAAACCTGGGAGGAGGAAGGGAGTGATTGACTGGACAGGGAGGAAACAACTTTCACTTATAAGGGAAACCAGGGGAGGAGCAATTACACATCGGCAACTATGAATAGCGGTTGCTATAGCAACTTAGCTGGCAGGCTAACGGTGGCGGGAAAGAAGGGGGAACGAAACCATTTTACACATAATAGGGGAGAACAATACATAAATTGGGGGAATAACACAAGAAATTAACAACACACTACCACACCTTTTCCTTTTCTGGCTAAGCTAATGGAGAATGGAGTAGCAGGGGAGAAAAAGTTACTAAAAACCCAAATAACAAATTGAAAAAGAAACATACAGCCTGAAAATGGGATACCATCTCCACAGTAAACAAAAAACATATTCATAATAAATGTATCACCATTTTCAAAGTGCAGGTTTTGTTTTGCATAGCATAGATTTATTTTATAAACACTTTCCTAAACAAGATGTATTATTACCTTGTATGTAAAGGTGACAGAATGTTCAGGAAAAACATCTTCAAACTAATACTCTGGCTATGAATAATCTCACTATCATTCCAAGGCAGAGGAAGGAGGGAAAAAGTAAGGCTGTAAATGTTTCATTAACTCTTTTTAGCCAAAATCAGAATATGCACATATAAAAAAAAAAGCCTACTATTTCACAGTAGCTAGATACATTTTGTGGGCTGCACACACGCCTGCCTTTTGCTAAAAAAATCAATAACTCAATTACAATAGCACAGAAATTATCTGTCAGGATAGGATTAGAAAATGTTTTAGGAGACTGAAACTTAGCTGAGAAAACTTTTCAGTGGGTATATATAGCATGCACCTTTGAAATCCATGTTTGCTTTAGAAATAAGTATTGAAGAAGCTTAGACAGAGACCAGGTTTAAAAATATTATTTCTATATCTTTCATAGGCAATATACCATACCTTCATTTTTCTGCTATACATATATAAAAAGGGTTTACCTTCCCAGAGAGAAAAGAAATCTGGTCCAAAAGCAGTGCAGATGTCTTCTTGTTATTCTTTCTTGACAGGCTCCTGAACAGAACAGTTTAAGGAACCTCATCTTCACAAATAATTATGCACCTCTATTTTCCAAATCAGATTACCATCATATTTAAAAGAAGTACTGCAAGCATCTAATTTTTGATATTACAGTATCACAAAACATAAAAAACTCACCTTTACAGGTAAAGTGATACACTTGAAAATGTTGTATGACAAAATACTCCACTGACATCTCTATTATAGGCTGACAGATATTAATATATTCAAAATCACAGCAGGCTTATACATCCTAAGGTATTTTTGGTGCACAAAGACCAAAAGTAGACACTTTTAAAAACCAGTAGTAATACATCTTGAGATCTCTGCAGCGCACACACTCAAGAGAGAACTCCTCTGCTAAACCTTGCCACAGATTTTGCTGCTGCACAATAAAAACAGTTTTTAAACAAATGTTCCTATATTGTGATGCATGCTACATTCATTCATTAGAAAGGCTTGAGGCTTTTTTTAAACTTACACAGAATAAACATCTCTATTCTTTTCCCACAAAGAACATGCACATCAACAGACAAATTTTATGTGCAGTTGTATCAACAACACATGGTTACTGCTACTGTAACTTAAATTTCAAAATTAAAAAATCCAGTTATGAAGAATCACTGACTGTTTTAGCAGGCTAGAATGGAATGAGCCCTTGCCTATCACCATCTGCCTGTTGCTTGCACGGGTACATGCTGATGTTTTTCTTTCTGCTACAGACAATTATCAGTAGTAGTTCAGATCCTTAAAAAAGGATACAGCTCAAACTCCAGATCTGATATAAAAATGGAAGGTAGATCAGAGAGCACCACCATCTGCAAAAATTCCAGCGCAGGACCATAGTAATGAAAAACCTGAAAAGAGATCAAATAAAAACCCATATATAGAACGTTATATATGATGCTGGATCACCACAAGTTTCTCAAGTGTTTTGCTGAAGGTATTAGCCTTGCAGATAACATCTGAACGAGGTATAAAGGAATACAAAATACAAAAACATTTCACAACATCATATTAAATTATATTAAAAAAGGAAGGTATTTATTTTTTTAAATAAATCTGACTTGATAGAACATCAACAATGTGCATCAAATGAGTTCTCTTACCCAAAATAAAATATGATCTACCAGCAAGAGACAAATGCAATACAAAATGCACATATTTTAACAATTAAAATAACAAACTCCAAATCAATTTTCATAACACTCATTTTTGTTTTCATCAATACATATGATTCTGGAGTTCCTATAAATTATCCACTTTCAGAAGAAAACATGGAACACCAAGAGTATTAAAAAAAAAACAAACGCAAATTTTTAAAATTAAGTGGGAAGTTAGATAAATACAGAATTCATAATTTAACTATTTTGAGTATTAAACTGAACAAAGTCTCAATTTCAGATTTGAAAAAAATCTGGTGTTGTATTTGTAAGAACAAACAGATGAAGTTTTAAGGACCTGTTTTGACAACACAGGTGTACAAAAGTATTCCTCAATTTTATCCAATAATTACTTCTCTACTTAACTTTCAGTTCTGACTAAGGTTTCCTCAATTACTAATTTTCTTCACAAAGTACAACAGATGAATTCTAAAACTCAAAGAAAGATCAAGAATAATACTTGCTTCTGGCAAAGTATCAGTATTCCTCAATTGGCACTCTTTTTTAGCAGCAAGGCAAGAACTTAAATTTGCAGTCCTGAATGTCTTGGCTGAAGTGCTCTTTATACAAAATTCTGGAAAATCTACTCCCGATCCAAACTGGAAAAAAAAAAAGAAGATGATAAATATTTCAAAAAGATAAAAATTATTTCTCTTCAGCTAGTTAGATGTGCTATTTTAAACAATTTATATTATTTTTTATCAGGTCTGTAAAATAAGAAAAAGACTAAACTTAGATAACCAACTATTAATCCAAAACCACAATACTGAAAATGTAAACAACGTCACAAAGGTTTTTGCAGAAACATTAGGCATATGCTTGCAACAATGACTTACAGTTACATGACAATGACTTGTGAGAGATACAAAACAATCAATTTTGAACAGTAACTTTAAAAAAAAAAATTCACACAGAAGCATCTGAATTTCTGAAGTTCAGATCTTGATGCATTGATCTCATTTATCATTTCATCCTGCTACCCACTCAAAGACATTACACATCACCTTTGAATTACATAGTTGAAACCAAATTTGGCTTAAAGCATAAAATGCACTGCATAACAAATGCTTTCAATGAGGTATATAGATGCTTCAAAAAAAATAACCACCACAATAATAAAATAAAAGTTATTTTACCTTTCTTTCCCATATCTGAATTTTTCCTCTCCAGAGTTCATTTAAATCAATGATATTCATTATATCATCTGAAGATACCAAGTATGCTGATAGATAGTCTGCAATCTTTTGCCAGCTACTGTAAAACAGCAAAGAATTAAACTCACTGAATTTAACATTACAATAAAGACACAGTGCAGTTTGGCTGAATTCACCTATGACCTCTTAGCACAGAACCATCTTGTGTATGTCAAGACAGACAATAAAGTTTAATAAAAGTAAAAAATATTACAGAATTGCTCATTCAGGGCTTGTAAAGGAATTTGTTCATATGCTCCATGAAAGGGACACCAAAGAACTTTGACATCAAATAAAGCTGGCAGTGGCAAGCTGCAAGCACAGCATGGTAATGTTGGCTGCTAGAAGCTGCAGCACAGCCTGGCAGCCATCACTGTCTGTCCAGATAGCTTCTAGTTAACCCTCTAAATGGAGATATGACTGTAGCACAAGCACTACCCAAATTCAACAGGAGAGAACAGCCAGTAGCTGTGGGTTCTGCTGGCAGTCTGTCTCCCAAAGGAAATCAGCACCATCAACAGAACAGGAAGAGCAAGTGAAATAACTTTCATCAGAGATCATCTATACCCAAATAATCTCACTTTATATAAAAGGCAGCAGAAAAATTTATTCAGTCAAAGCTGGTTCCACAGGATATCAATGAGCACTGAGATCAAGCACTTATGGAAGTCACTGAGTAACTTTCTTGTCCTCTACACACCTCAGGAGATACTGTATAGCAGGTATATTACTTATTCTGTCCAAGGACTGAACATTCACCTTTTTAAACAGTTTTTTTAACTAAGGATTAAGTTTAACCATGTATTCTATGAAGCAAATTTCAATCTTTTGGGCAAGGAGGAGAAGGAAAGTGGAGACCTTGCCAAGTTGTTCAGTATCTGCACAATCATCCACCTAACAGGATAAAAACCCCAAATCACTATGGTTTATATGGTGAGATATATCATAGCCTTTACATGTCAAATAGATGACAGTAAGTAAATTACTGGAATCAATTTCAATTTGAATTAATAGTCTCAGTAACTCTTCATACTAACAAAAATTGAAAAACACATAGGAAGTAAAATAGAGTGTTTATATTCCTTTTTCAAAAGGGACAAATGAAGCACTCTACTTTTCCTTCCTGAAATGTAATACCAATGGTAATATAAAATTTGAAGTAAAACGAGCAGTAGTATGGATTCATTTTAAAAAACCTGGAAAACTACAATCAATATACACGTTATCCCATAGCATAATACAACATGAAAACATTGCAGGCACACTGAACCCATGGAAAGGGAAGAGAAAATATTCTACTTTTTGCTCCCACAGAAAACAAGAAGTGCAGAGGACTGGCTTTTTTGTCTACTTCTGTGATTTGCATTTACAATGAATCAGAATGAGTAATTCCTCCTTTCATACAACAACAGACAACTAATTTATGCATTTTCAAAGTACACACGTAAAGTACCCAACAAGCTGGTTTTATTTCAACCCACTGATCTATGCTAATACAAAGCAGAAGTGACCTTGTTTCAGCCCTGAATAAATGCCATACCCTTTAGCATCACTTGCAGCAATAGTGATCTGTGCAGAGTGCCACTCTCTCAGGTGTTTCAGGGCACCAATAGCAGGCAAGCAGTCCTTTAACTTGGGTCCATCACATTCAACAGCCTGCAGGATTACATCAACCATTGCTCTGCCTATAAAATAGTTGTATATGATTCAAATATCATGACTCAGTAAATTTTTCAGTCATTTAAAGATAGAATATTATTGGTTATCATTGATTGCACTAAAACCAGCAAAAAGATCAAGTAACTACAGGATTTAAAACACTTTTCACACATTTTAGCTCATCACTTGCTGCTCCTCTTTGATGAGCACAAAATATTTCACCATTCCCTCAGTGACAATGAAAAGTTCTGTCCCTTTCTCCTCTCTCACTTAGCAATGATAGATGAGATTTCTCTCCCATACAACTAAGCTATGTCATTTTCCTACTTTTAACACTCTAAGCTGCTATTTTTCTTCTTGAATTCCTTTGTTATCCCAAATCAACTTCTACATCATTATATAACCCTAACACGCAAGGTGATATGTATCTCCAGTTTAGAAAATCCCAATCCAACAGTTGTGATGCATTTTCCTCCTCATCTTCTTGGCTCACAAGCTGTTAAATCAGATGTAAGCCTGATATCAACATCTTCCTTTTTTTAATAAGAAATTCCCTGTGTTTTGTGTTGCTTACTGCCTATGATTAGTTTGGTGTCATTTCATATGGATAAATTTATTATGTAAGTATTTTAAACTCTACTGAACCTGCCAAAGAAACAAGCAGCAAACTAGTCCTCAAGCTGATCTGCAATGCCAACCATGCTCAAGTTCCTAAACTACCTTCAAGAGCTACATTAAGTTAATTCAGCTACCAAACTAAGGTTCTCTGAACTTTTCCATTCACTATCCTTTTACCAAACAAGACAAACTCTAATGAAATTGGTTTTTAAAGACACATTACCTGGGGCAGGCAATTTATCAGCTAATTGATGTAGACTTTCAGCAGCTTCATCATAGATACTAAAAATGAAAAACAAAAAGTTTGGAACCAAAATACAAACAAAGTCATCTAGAAACAAAAAGTTACAATTAATGAATGGTACCTGATGTATCTTACATCTTTAAAACTCTGCACAAACATACCTAGGCTATGAGAAATCATCTCCTCTTTTACTAAGACAGAAGTAGGCCTAATGACATCAAAATAATCTGAAGTAAAACTGGAATTATGTTCAAAAGGAATTAGCAAGAAATTTTTGTATATATAACGTTGGCTGTTAGGAAACAATTCAGTTATCCTATAAAAATCACCTGTAAAAAAATTAAAGCTATGCTAAACAAAATAAAAGTATTTTCAATTCTAGCAGGGAATTGTTCACAGTTAACTCCTGCTTTGGTAATAACTCTCACTTGTTAAACTTTCTTGATCCCCTTGGGTCATTGCTGATAGATGTCAGATCACTGTTCTTTAAATAAAAACAACAACATACATACTCAGCCAGAGACAGTGATTCCTGACTGTTACTGTCATCCTCCTCAAAACTTTGTGCGGTTCCTAGGTTCTCATCAATGCTTGCTTGGTAAGAGTCTTCATTTTTCTGTGTGTCAACATTTATTTCCTCCCAGTCAGAACTGCAGAACTAATCAAACAAAAAGGCTTTAATAAGCAAAAAGAGTTTTGAACATCACAGTTTTAGCTTGTTCTACAGTCAGGCAGATGGTTGAGGAACTTACACTCTGAAAAAATTTGTCTTACCTGATAATAACCACAGATGACATGACTTGCAAAATACCATTTCTTTGCACCTGGAATACCAGCCACTGAGCAAGCTGCAAAGAGATAAACAATTATTTAAATTCATCAATTCACTAGAATCTATTCTTCCTATTATAATGAACATCTCTGCTAAAAGACTTGGTGAGTCATTTAATGTTCAACAATTACCTGAGTTCTATTTTTCTTTGGCACTGTAATTAAGCTCTAAACTTATGAAAGTGTAGGTAAGTGTCCTCGAAAGTGTCTATTACTGACCTTTTGACTGCTAGAAAGTAAGAAAACATTTGACCTCTTCTCTGTTCTGGGTAATATTGCTTTCTCTTTGCACCATCTGTATCAGAACTGAACTAAGTAACACCTTTCATAAGTATGATTTACAGTTCACAAAATGAGATGCTCTATCAATATTTCTATGCAATAAAAAGCACAGAACTTGAAAACAGCTTAACATTCCCATCTCCATGAATTTTAAGAGCTTAAAGTAGTTTTCCCACATAAATCCCAATTATATGACATTTGTGACAAGATGAGCTTATAACAGTAGATACCCAAACCAAGTAAAGAACTAAGAAAGCATTTTTTGATTAAAAACCCCCCAAACAACAAAACACAAACATGCAGCCCCTAAAAGTACTAAAGTAGACCTTAAAACATCTATTCTAAGGTAAAAAAATTATTTAATATTAATGGATTAAGGTTCTGAATTGTTACCCAACAGAGAAGTATTCTTTCTACTGAAAAAATCAGAAGGCATTATAGGAGTAAATAAAGTATCACACTTCCCACTGACTTGGGAACCAAGCCCTTTCCTACCCTTCCTTGCTCAACTGGACTGAAATTTGTCAACTCTTCAAAACCCTTCCCTTTCATTTCTCACAACCAATCAATGTAATCATCTCCTAACACCTTAGCTGCCAAAATGATGTCAGGTTCTCTGCAGAAACAGGAGCAGCAGAAACAGGCCCACACCACAGCAATTAGGATTAACTGAATTTCTGACTTGTCTCTCCCAACAGAACACTCATAGGCCAATTCCTCAATAGCATTTGCCCCTCCTCACTGGGCATTGCCATACGTACCTGGGAATGTGCTCACATCTGCATTTATACATGCATTACAACTTTCTTTCAGGACCTGATACATGTCTGCAGCAATCCCAGCTGGAAAACGAAAAAAAAAAATCTTAAAACGACTTAATTATGGAAGTTAAACATTACTTTCTTGCAAATATAGTATAAGTTCAGCATGACATTATAAAGAGAATTTAGGGAAGAAGGGGGAAAGGGTTTGGTTGGGGTTTTTAACAGAACTGTCACCTGCAGATATACAATTTACAAAAACAAATTTTCCTAAATTCTCCTTAAAATCATGTTCAGGAACGCATTACGGAGTTATAAAGCAGGAACCCCCCTGAAGTTTCTGCAGGTTAAAGGCACCAAAGACTTTCAGCCCGAAAGCGAAGGGGTGTCTGGGGGTGCAGGAACAGGAGAGCCCCGCAGACAACGGAGCAGCGCCCGCCCCGGCCCAGCGCCCGCAGCCCCAGCGCCGTCCCGGCGGTACCTGCGGCGGTGGCTGCCGCGGGCCCGCCCGGGGCCCTGCGCTCGGCCCAGCTCAGCAGCAGCACGTAGCGCTCCATGGCCGGCCGGGCCGCGGCGGGCGCCGCTCCGAAGGTCCCGCGCTGCCGCCCGGCACCGCCCTCCGCAGGGCAGCGCTTCCGCTTCCCGCGGCCGCGGCCGGCGCTCCCTGCGCGCCCCGCGCGGCATGGCGAGCTACAGCCGGGCCGCCCAGGTGAGCGCGGCCTCCCCGCGGGCCTGCGGCGCCTTCGCTGCCGCCGGGACGGGGCCTGCCTGGGGCCGTGAGGGAGCGGGCGGGCACCGAGGGTCCCCCTGGAGCGCCCCGGGGCTGCCCCCGGTGCCACCTGAGGGTGCCGCTGGCAGGAACCGCCGTGTGCGGCGGGGACCCGCTGCTCAGGCTGTGCGCGGTCTGCAAGCTGCGTGTGGGGGAGCTGTGCCCTTCACCTTGGGCGTTCAGTGGCCTGCAGCGATGTTACGGCTCATGTAGCCATAATGGAAGCTTGCAGCAGGAGAGCTGCGTTTTTGAAAGAAAGCACTCAGGGCCGGTAACCTGTCAGTGGTGTTACCCATGCACATCGCCCTGCGGTGGGTGCATCGCTGTGCTCCGTCCCTTTAAAGGTTATTTGAAGGGGGTGGTGCTGCATGTCAGTGTTCCTTCTAGTATTTTTTGAATGTAAAAGAAGCGTTGATTTAATTGAGGAAGAGAGATTACGCTAATGTGAGTTTTCCCTATGATAAGTACTGACCCTCTTTCTTTTCAGCAATGGGCTACTTTTGGTAGAGCCTGGTACCTCCTCGATGCGAAGATGCAGCCCCCAGGAAAACTAGCAGCTGCCACTGTCATCAGACTCGAAGGCAGACATAAACCTATTTATCATGCACTAAGTGAGTATTGCAATGGATGAAAGCACATTTGCTTTTCTTCAACATGCATGTTTCTTCCAATTTCAGTTTTAACATCAAGCCTGATACACAGGATTACGTTTCTGAATTGTTTATAAACTACAAACTCGTTGGTTTTCTTTCTCATCTTTTTCCATCATATCCATCCACAACCTCATGTTGTTTCTTTGCCAATACATATGAAGGTAATACATTTCTTTACCTATACATATTTGTAATTCATTTTGAGTAACTGAATTACAGTGGGATCTTCTTGCATTTTTTAAATAAACTCACAACATGTTTTGTTGATCTTAAATGTTAAGATTTAGCTCAAAGTGCACATAAATAAGTATCTGAGTACTTCCTTTCACTATGTGCCCAGGACCACAATCTTGGAGTGCTTCACTCTGAATAAGATGCCAAGCAGTCCTGTTTTCATGAGGGACTGGTACAGACTGAAACACAGGATACTCTGAACATCAGATATTTTTTACTATGAGAGTAATGGGAGGGATGTCATTGCCCAAGAGGTGGTGAAATCTCCATCTGTGGAGATTTTCAGGAGCTGGTCCTGCTTTGAGCACTGGGTGTAGATGACATGACCTTCAAAGGCCCCTTCCTGCCTCACACATTCTGTGATGAGGAGGCTGGGACCTGTCTTTAAATGGGCAACAATCATTGTTAAAAGGTGTCTTGTTTAAACAAAACCATCATTTTGTTTTTCTTCAAATTAGAGATTCAGCTATAAAGATGCATCTGCAGTGCTGTTCATTACCTGTAATGCTGTAGTGCCTGTCTCAGGAGGATAAGCATTTTATAAATAATAAAGAGTTGATCTTTCACACCACTGGTACAATGTTTCCTGTAGTACCCATGCAAATTTTTCCAGAGATGTTACTGTAAAATAAAGGAAGCCTTGAAGTTGGCTCATACATGTTGAAGGGTATGTAGTAAAGTTATACTCAATCTATTTCACAGTAGGAGGTAGGATTTGTGGTGTTGTCAAGACCTTTAAATGTCACAGTTCTGCTGTTGCAAATTTTGTTGTATCCACAAGATGTCACTGGAGACTTAAGGCTGTCTTGAGAAATAAAGCAGATGTTGAGAGGAAAATGTTTTGGTTATCCTGTGCAGAAGAACTTTTGATACTTTTATGTCTGTGAGTTATAAAGTATTTCAAGGATAACTTCATTTTGTTTAAAATGTTGTGTAAATCAGTGCTAGTTGCTTTACACATGTTGACACCAATTGCTTGGTTACTGCTACTGAGACATTTAGGAGAGCAAAGTATGCAGGAGCTTGGGCTTTATGTACTTGATGTTGCTTTTGCTTCTTTTTTTGAACTAACAAATATTTCGTGTCTGTGAGATAACAGCTCCCTGGACAGAGTAATATCAGGAAGATTTTGTTATTGTTTAGTTTTTAATTTGGTATTTGTTAATTCAGTGTTTTTGCAAGTCGAAAACTGTTGGCAGAAATTTCCTTAAGATTAGCTCATTGTGTCATCTTCCCATCTAAAAGACCAAAAAGTCACAAAGTCCAGTGGCAGGTTCCTGATATTTATGAAGTCATACAGTGTTTGTAGAACTGAACTGTCAGCAGTGAAAGCCTGCAGCAGCAAGGCTGTGTAAATTACATTTGCACTTCAGCTGTAATTGAAAGTGGAGCATTAAAAGAATACAAGATTAAAAATTAATAGAACCCTTAAGGTGTGAAACTTGCTTTGATTTATTATGTGCTCCTATAAAAATGAATGGTCAATTTAAGCCTTGCTTTGTTACCTACTCAAAAATGTGTTAATCAAGTGAGCCTCTTCAAATACTTGTGTTGTAATATGGTGATGCAAATGAGACTGGACTTTGGAGAAATCATTTTCACTTTAGTTGAATGGCTGATTGCAGCTTATACAGCTGACCAGGATCATTACTTCTAAAATTAAAAACTAAATCTTTTTTCCTATTTATGTGATATTTTTGAGATAATAGAGGTTCTGTTAGCACTTTATTACTACAGAAGCCTTATTAAATCAACTGTTTCTGGCAGGGTGTTGGTAATACATTATAAACCTTACACTTAAAGAACTTTTGATGTTAAAGTTGCTGATGTAACTCTAAATCTGTGTATGCTGTAACATTTACTTCTGTTGGATAGATGAAATTGTGGAGTTTTCCCAACAGAGCTGTTGGGGGTGGTGTTTTCAGGGCTTTTTCTCTCTGCCACTTCCCTCGATGAAATACTTCTGTTTTATATATTTTGCCTGAGAATGTAACTACTTAATAGAAGTATTTTACTTACCCAGAGTGTTCAGACATTCAGCAAACACAGACACTGTTTTTATGAGAAAGAAAAGAAATACTTAGTATCATCTGGAACTAACCTTTGTTAGTTTTTTGTTTGGGGTTTTTTTTTGTTTTTTTTTTTTTAATAAAGGTGCATATGCAGCATAATGTGTTGAATAGAATAGAAATTTGCCTGTAAGCCAGATTTTCAAATCTTAGCTGAATATTTGCAATGGTTTAGGCATCTGGCCTGATGGTATTTTACCTGCTTACCTGCCTTCTAACCTGGTAGCACTAAAAATAGTAATTAAGGTTGGTATTTAAATGCTGATTTGGATGATGTGACTCAAAAAGCTGAGATCTTTAAATTTCAGTTTTATGGAAGGTGTATTTATATGCTGATATGTATGTATTGCACACATAATAGTTATTACTTTGACTGATTCCCTCTGTGGTTTTCTTTAATATCTTCCATTTACTTCCACCTTGCAGATGACTGTGGAGATCATGTTGTCATAATAAATACAAGACATATTGCCTTCTCTGGCAACAAATGGGAACAGAAAGTATATTCTTCACATACTGGGTAAGCTTTATAGTAAATAAAGCTTATGGCAGTGAGCTTGTGGTAAATTTTATGTCATATTTTCTTAATAATTGAAGTATTTTTAGCATATTCCTTTAAAAGGGAATTCCTATTTTAACTTTAAGGGAGTTTTTTTTTTGTTTGTTTGCATGTATTATGATGTTTTAAATGGTGTAAACCTTTTTCCTCCTTTCTTTTTCTTTTCTTTCTTTCTGTGTATTTTTTATACCCAATGTATGTTGCTAGGGAAATAATTGGCTCAAAAGTAGTCAGAGCAATTGTATAAGTTAACAGATTTGGTGAATGAGGTTGTGTCTTGTGTTAACCTCTGGACCCAATGATCTGGGCTATTCTGCTATTCTGCTTACTGTATAATAGAAGGTATTTCCACTGGCACATAAAAGACATATATATACATATATATATACATATATATATACGTATATATATACGTATATATATACGTATATATATATACATATATATACGTATATATATACATATATATACGTATATATATACGTATATATATACGTATACGTATACGTATACATATACGTATATATACATATATATATATATATATATATATAGTCACCAACTTTAATTATTTTGTCCTACCAGGACCTATTTACCTAAGAGCAAATATTGAATCAGACGATGAAAAAAAGTTGGGAAAACAATTTAAAGATGAAATACTCTCGGTGATGTACAGTACATTGTTATGCACAGTAGTGTAAAATAAATTATTCTAGCAGACATAACTTGGTTATAGTGGAGAGTGCAATAATCAACTACAGACAGGGTGTCCATGATCAGCTCAGTGCTCCTATTTTATGCAGTGGTACTAATTCATAGTAATCTCTTGAGTGTCACAATGTATCCAATTGAGAGATGAATAAATTACACTGAGAAAGCTAATTTTGTATTGCTAATGGTGCAATCCTGAAATTGCTGAATTGCTGAGAAATTCTTGTTCAAAGGTGTTGGAAATTATTGTGTGCTTTTTTTGGCTCCATCTCCCCTATGATATAAAATTTTCTCTAAAAACTGAAAATACATGTTAAATCACTTGCTTAAGTACCTAAGTTGGTTTTGAATAAATAAAAGAACTGTGCACTTAAAACTAATAATTAAGTCCATGCAGCTCAGTGGACATGTCTTCATGATGCTGGGACTATTTTCATTTCACTTAGGCTGATTCCTAATAATGTAATTCAATCAAAATGGAACACAGCATTACCTGACTTCCATGTAATTCTTACTCCATGCTATCATTCATTTTAAGCTTATGCAGATCTGAATTAGTGCAGCTTCAACATGTCATATAGGCTTTAGAAAGATGGATCCATTGCAGTAAAATTAAAATATTATTACTGTAGATATGCCAAGTCTTGCTATGATTTATTTCGAGTAGCAAGAAAATAATAAACACAGTTCAAAATGGATGTCTCTTATGTCAGCCACAAACTGGTTGTGAGTCTTGATCATCTGGAAATACTTCAGAGTTCTGCATATCTTATTTCTCTTGTATTCTATAGTTGTTATGGTGTATTTAATAAGTAGTTTTAAAAGCATATCCATCTGCTTGTGAAGCACAAGGTTTATCATATTCTAGTGAATAAACAAGAAAGCACAAATGGTGTGGAATTAAATAGTTGACAAGATAAATAAAATACAGGTTTTGGGCCCATAAGAACAACTTCCTTTTTGAGGGCCTGTAATACCATGACACCATTGTTCAAGATGCAGTGATACTTTTGTTAACATCATGCTTGAGCGTGTAGAATTAACCTTGTATGTTTGTTTCGTTTTTCTAGTTATCCTGGTGGTTTTAAGCAAGTGACAGCCACTCAGCTCCATTTGAAGGATCCAACTGCTGTAAGTGTTTTTCCCTTCTTCAATTTTTATTTGTGAAACTAGTTAGTTTCCAGTTATTTAGTTCCTCTTAACAAATGGGATCAATTACCTGCATATCTAAAGTTAAATTACAACTACTAGTGGTTCATTCTACTGGTAGTTCATAGAAGCATGGCTTGTGACACCATTTTTGCAAACAATGTTTTCAGGGTTAGAGTGTAAGTTGTGTTTTTTTGTCATTCTTCCATGCTTTCCAAAGGAGCAAATCAAACTTGTTTACTTCACTAATTTTTCACTTATTTACGTCCTTTTAGTTTCAGGGGTCTGACCTTTCTCATAAGTGATCCGCCTCCAGTTTGACTGAGCTAAGCTGTATTTGAGCTTAATGACCCTACTGCTTTTTTAAGAGTCAGCAAGAATAATGCTAACCTTAAAAAAGTTAGAAAGTGCATCTGCCTCTTTATCCCAGTGAAACTCAATGGAAGGTTTTAAGTGATGATATTTTTTTAAATCTTTTCTGAAATACTGTGTGTTCATGGTCTGTGAAAGAAATGGAAAAGTTGACTATGTTGAACATAAGCCTATTTACTATCTGTGTTAGATAACTGTATATTCTAAAATGCAGTGTTCATGTGTTTGTACTGAGTAAAAAAATAGGGAGCCAGATATGAACATTTTGACTTACACAGTTATGAAGTAACTTCTACTAGAGGTTTGAATGGACAGCATTGGATGGCTGAATTATTTAAGTAGTAATGTTTCAGGGCATAATACAGGACCCACAGGGATCAACAGGCATTTATGTTTTGTTTTGACTTTGAAATACTTTCATTTGGGTTACTTCATAGAAAAAATATTCAAGTTTTTTTCCTTTACCTAGAGAAATTTTGTCTGCTGTAAAATTCATGGGTTTTATCAATTATTTGGAAATCCTGCTTTGTCCCAAGTCTGCCTTATACAAGTGCAAGTACTCAATGAAAAGTAGTCCACCATATGAATTTGCCTGGTTTCTGTTTTTACTGTCACAACTTCTTTAAATAAAATGAAACTAAATCCTACATTTCCATATAATGCTCTGTATAGAATTTTTCAAAGCAAATGCTTTTGCAAACAGCCTCTAAGATAGTTGTAATTCCTTTGGGAATTACTGATAGTTCCATGTCTAAAATGGATTCTTCAATCAATTTCATTTGAGCTTCAGGCAGATGCTGAGCACTGGGAGGCAGTGTAACACAACTTGATAGGGCATGAGACTTGGATGTTCTCTAAATTACCTTCTGGCATTTGTTCTGAAATACCTCTTTTATTGCCAGACTCATAGATGAATTTCTCTGCAAACAGAAGAGGATTCAAATGCACTGCCAAAAACCAAAGCATGTTGCACAAAGGCTCAGCAAATGGTGATGTGGCTCAAGTCTTGGTCTAATTTAGCAGCAGACACTATTTTTTTAACACAATGGTGGAAAATCTTCAGCAATTAACTCTGTCATTCTATTGAAGATGAAGCATTCAGTTGCCTCTCTCATGAAAATATCTCAGACGTGTTTTTGTCATAATTAGTAGTAGTGGATGGTAATTTGGCACAATACGTTCTGCATGTGTAGCTGTAATGGGTTTTTGTGGCTGGAATCGTTGTTTACTAGTTGAATTGTGTTGGTGTGAAATGCATTGGGTTATCACAAAAATGGAAATTATGATGATGCATTATTAGCAGGTTTTTTTTTTTTTAGAAGAAGCTTTTAAAACCTGAAAAAGTAGTACTGTAAAGGGAACATCAGCCTAAGTAACATATGCATCTTCAAATCATAATCTAAATGACACATAATTATTATGGAGACTTGTTAAATCACTTTATTTCACTTCCTTTCTGTTTTAATCACATTAAATTCAGTTCCTGTGAAGCCAGTGGAATTGGGAAGATTGTAGGAAGCGGCTGTATCTTCCTGGGGCATCTGAATCTTCACTTTGTGAAGTGTTACTTTCATCCTGAAGGCTACTGCTCTTACTCTGCCCTTGGACTTTCTGCCTCCTGCTAATTCATCCTGGTAGTGTCCATTAGGATGAGTCATCATTGCTTTTGGAAATAGTGCTGTTACAGAAATTAAGACAGTAAATTAATGGAAGAGACTACTTCCAAGGAAAAGATGTTGTAAACTTCCATGGTGCTACATAGAGATTTTGCCATGCATTTGACTATTTTCAGTTTATATAAGACTTCTTGAGTGTGTGTATATGTAGTAGGACTGCAGGAATGCTTAGCACTGTCTTTATTTACATATATCTCAATTCAAACCTGCAAATCCCTAAGATAAATATTTTTCAGTTAGTTTTGTTTCTAGTATACAAAGTGTTTTAGGAAAACCGGCTTCACAGCTAATGGCTGGTTATAAAGATTTTAATGAGGAATTTGATGCAAAATGCTGTACTTTATGCTTACATGGGAAGCTGAAAGCTGTAAGTATAGTTGTCAGAATTCAGATAAGGTTACTGTGGTATCATCCCTGAACATTTCTAGCTCCTTCCTAAGGTGCCACCAAGTGATATTCTCACTTTGTGGGGGCTGACCTCATTATATCTATCTTACTAATTCTGGAGCTTTACATTCCTTGCAGGTGGTGGTTAGTGCTTCAGAGGGTTTGTGCTGAATTTGAATTTACATGTGCCTTTTTACAGAGGGCCATAGGATGATTCAGACTGAAGAGAACCTGAGGAAATCTCTAGTCCAACTTCCTACTCGAAGCAGTGTTAACTACTAGGTCAGATAAAGCTGCTGGGGATTTATCCAGACAGGTCCTGAAAACTTCCTATGGCAGCTGTTTCTATCCAGGACTTCTTTTAGTAAGGAATAAAAAACCTCACCTGTCCAATCACATGTCTGATCTCTGAGGTATGATTCTGTACCTGAGATTAGAAAAAGACTACTTTTTTTTTCCCCTTGCTAAGTATCCTTCATGTTAATATAGGGCAGTGAATGCAGAAAGAAGTCTGTGTAGTTGGTGTTTTGTGTAGAGCTTAACTTAACATTCCTTGTTCATTTTGCCAAGGTTTTCAGCACTTCAGAAAAATTTGTGCTTATGCAAGGGTGAAAATGAGTATGTTAACAAAAAGATAGCAAAAGTACATAGTCCAGCACATTTTTACCTTAAATACTTGTGAGTTCATTTGGGAGACATGAGGAGGGGAGTGTCTCTGAATCTGTCTAAAATTTCTACTGTTTTCAGTTGTCTGCTCTTCTTCAAAATAGCAGAGAATAGAACTCTTCTAATGAATTTGGCTGGGCTACTTTGAGAAGTGCTTATTGAAGAAAAAAAAACAGCTTGTTCACATTTCTCTGACTTAGATTGAATGTAAATTCTTGGACCACCCATAAGCAAAACTATAAAATATGTTCTTTAGGTGCACCATGAAACTTTGTTGCTGTAGTTCAAAACAGCCACTCTGTTCTTCAGGTTAATAGAATGTTGGTATTCTGTATGGCAGCAATAATCTCTTAGGATATAAGTGGGCAGGCAGCATTAGTTTCCATTGGAGGTTGCAAAAAAAAAACCTGATTGAAGGATTTGGGGTGTTTTCTTTGCCAGGACAATCTTTTGGAAATAAAGGAAACGGGTAAGCCTTGGGATTTGAGGTGTAGTTGTTTGGAATGCATAGAGCTTTGGGATTTTCTTGACTTTTAAAAAAAAACTTGAAGTTTTATTTAGCTGCAAAGCTGCTGATTGGCATAAGATCTGCACTTTCAAAATTAGACTTCCAGGTACTTGATACAGAAAGATTAAAAGATGTAGTTTTAAATCTCAGATTTGAGAGGGAGCAAAGATTACCTGAAAAAAATCCTGGGAAAATCTTAAGATTTTTCATTTAAATGCTGCAAAATAATGTTGTCAGATCTAATCTGCAGAAGTATATAGTAATCATGTGAGGACAGAGTTTTCAATCAGTTTTTCTCTGACTTGTGATTTGAAAGGTAGGCAAAACTCAGCTTAATTTTTTTTTTCTGGCTTCATGAGAAACTTGACCCCAGAAAAGAAAAAGAAGAAATTGCATTTGGTTAAGACCAAATGCTCAGTGAGAGGATTGACCTTTGCAGTATTCAGAGGCTGTATTATTGCCTGTGACAGAGAAATAATGGGCAATAATTTTGCAGAGTGAATGTTACCTGCTAGGGGAGATTATTAAGTGAAGCAGGGTGGCTCAGTGGAAATGTGCTGGGAGGGAGCCTCCAGGGGTGTCCGGGTCTTGGTTTGTTCAGCTGCTGGCACTGATGTGAAGGGGTTTAAAATGTTCTAATTCTCCTTTTGAATGCCCTTTAGCAACTGCTTGCATGTAAAGACTTGCCATTATATCTGCCTAATAATGGTCTTTTGAAGAAAAGCTCAGACAGAAAGCACAGTTAAATCTTGCTTTTGCTATTTGAGAACTTATTTTCTTTGCATTAGTAAGGGATAGTTGATAGAATAATATGTACATGCTAGAAGTCAGTTACTGAAACACTAGAAGTAGTAGCATTTTCTTCTATTAGAAAGGAGTAATGTGTTTTAATTAAGTAGAACAAAACTTCAAAGACTGGATTAGTAGGCACACAAGTTAGTTTTGCATGGGGAAGAGAACATGCTATCTTGAAACCTCTAGGTGATGTGAGTAAGTCTTGGAGCTGACTTGGTCATTCTCTTCATAGTACACAAAAATAAATGCTTATATTGAAAAGTCTTAATCCATTCCTTATTTTTGAGTCAAGTTAATCATTTAAAGAAAACATTAAGCTTCCACATTTTTGTTAAGTGGAAAGCAGCAGTGGAAAGCCAAATAACATCCATGTGCATGAAGTTTAATTTGTCTGTGACCAAATGATTTTTATGGCAGTATTGAGTAAATTCACTCTTGCTTGGACAAGTTGTACTACTTCTGCAACTGTCAGAGGTAGAAAGTTCTTTGTGTTGTATTTTATAATTGTGGGTGAAAACAACATTGTATACAGAACTGAAAACCATGGACTGGTAGAAGGAAGATGTGTATCAAACTGTACCTCCAAGTAACTGCTGTATCTCTTAAAATTCTTCTAGGGTTATTTTGGCATGCCCTGTAATTAATCACTTTGTTTTCTCTGGAGCACTGTGTCCTTCCCATGTTCTAGAGTTGCTTCCTGTTGATTATTGGACTTAATTCAGCTGTTAGGGTAGACTTTCTTCTGGAAATTCAGCCAATTATTTTGTGCTTCTCAGTACTAGGAGTGGTATTGCTCTGTTGATTTCCATCTTTAAAGTATGTTTTATCTGGCAAAGACTCTTTCTCAGAACTTGTCTCCACCAGACATAGTCTACTAGTTGCACATATGCCAAAGTTTGTCACAAAAATTGAAATGTTTAGGACTCACAGTGTTTCAAATAAGTGCATTTTAATTTATTTGTACTCATAAAATGTATTAATATGTTGTAAGGAACTTAAAGTGCAATGGTTTTAATACAGGTGCCTTCTGATTCATTTCCTTCTAATTAGCCCTTTAAATTGGAAACTAAAAGAATAATGTCATATAACTGTTATTAAGACCCTGTCTACGCTGTAAGTGTATAAATTAACCAACCTAAAAAAAGGTATTGCAATATTAAAGATGACAATTGCAATTAGAGCCAATGGGAACTTTGTAATTCAAAATAAACTAGGGCAAACAGCATCCCTGTAGTGTAAAAATCCCCAAATACTAACACTGGGGTGGCTGTGTGCTTCTGATGGTGGATGTCTTTACCTGATGGAGGAAGTGTTATGGTCTTTAGGAATAAGTATTTATGAGGATATGGAATTTTATGTATTTATGAGGATGTGGAATTTTACACATTGCCAGTACTAAAGATATAGTAGTGGGGGAGGAGACAGTGACAGTCCATGAATAACTGAATAAACTGTTAAGCTGTGCTAATCAATTTCAAAATAAGATCAAGGTTGCAGTGAGACCTGTGTGTGGGTAGAGCTCTCTGCCAGTCTGAGATTCCACAGAAATCACTAGCTTTTTTAACTTTCATGTAAAATTAAACTCTTGCTATTTTTATAGCTCATAATGAGCATAATGACAGAAAGCAGTAGGGTTTGTCTTTTATTAGAAGTGTACAAGCATGTAAAAAAATGGTTTTTATTGTTAATTCCTGAAAGAAACAACACGTTCTGAAGTGTGTTTTCAGGGAGCATGGAATCTGGGTTTGGGTTTTGTGTGAGTTCAGTAGCAGATTTGCAGTTCCATACTTTTTTATTTTGGATTGGTCTATTTTTAGTAAAACTTGAGCTTATTCAGGTAACAGAAGAGCCCTTACTTACTTAACATCTTGCAAGTATTGTTGATTGCATCTGCCTTTTCTGTTACACAACCATACTCAAGGTGCAAAAGCAATCTGTACAACTTCATTTAAGCTTGTGCTTTACTGATTTTTTTGACTTGACACCGCAGCAGTGAAAGTGGAGTTGTGGCTGTAGGCAGAATTTTAGGCAAGAAGTTGGATGTAAGCTTGGTCTTTCCAGTAGCTGGGTTTGGATTTATTTTGGCTTGTGGAAGAGTCTTTGAGGCAGAAGTTAAGATGAAGGAATTTTTCCAGCACTACCTTCTGTGTCCTGGCTCCCTGTTTACCTTCTGCTCTGTAGCTGGACTAATGACCTTGCAGTAAATCAGAATCCTGGGCTGCTTTCAAAGCAGCGTGGCCAGCAGGGTGAGGGAGGTGATCCTCCCCCTGTACTCCACCTGGAGCACCATGTCCAGCTCTGGGGCCCCAGCACAGGAAAGGCATGGATGTGTTGGAGCAGCTCCAGAGGAGGGCCACAGAAATGATGGGAGGGATGGAACACCCCTCCTAGGAGGAGAGATTGAAAAAGTTGGAATTGTTTAACCTAGGGAGGAAAGGACTCTGGGGAGAGCTTATTGTGGGCCTTCCAAGTATATAAAGGGGGCTTACAGAAAAGGTGGGACAGACCTTTTATCAAGACCTGTAGTCACAGAACACATATTGTACTGACCTAAATAAATTATAGTTTGTTCTACAAGCATGAATACTTTTTATCCCTAAAAAGCATTAGTTTTCATCTTTGATTTTTAATACATGCTTATTAATTTTTATTAGAGAAGGTATCAAAACTGTATATTAATCTGCATGACCTGCAATATTTCTCCTGTCATCTTGATTTATTACATTTGTCCAGAGATTTATGGTACTGGCTGAATAACACCTGAAAATCTTAAGTTCCACCTAAGAACTTGGTGATTGTCTCTAAAATTTCAATTGAACCCTTTAGTTAATTTTATAAAAATAAGTTATTTTGCTCAATACACTTTGGAAAGTATCCAGGTGCCTGCGAATTTTGTGCTCAGTGCCCTGCATTTCAGTGTGGTTTATTGGCTTGAGCTTGGTGCTGTCCTAAGCATGCCTGGGTACTTTTTGATTTGGAGCTAGTTTGTATCCAGGTGTCCTGGAGCAAACATTTTACTTACAAAATTGCACGTAGGTCTAGTTCTAAGTGCTTTGCTGTCCTTCATGAAACCTTTTCTCTCTCCTGCAGTTGTGTGCATTATTTTACATTTACAAATGTTCCTCTTCTGGATGAAGTCCATAACAATGTGGTTTGTATTTAAATAAAAGGCATCTTTGCTGGAGTCCAAGAGAAAATCCTGTTGAAATTTGTTTACTTTACAATGAGCATCGTCCAGAATAGATGTACAAATTCTACTCGTTCCTGATGTTTAGAAGTGAGATTGTTCATCTGGAACTAATAGCAAGGGTTATAAATATAAATAGTAAGTTTGTAATGCAGTGTTTTGGTATGTCAGCTTTGCTGAAGGTACAAAGCATTAATTATAAAAGTGTTTTAAACACATCAAATTACACTGTTAAACTAGTTGCTGGGAGCACTTGGGAAATTTGCTTAAGCACTTTTTTTTTCCTAAACAATATGTGTATGTAAATGTGAAATAAAATACAGAGTTACCACAAGCTTTTCAATTCTTTGGAGATCATGCACAGTCATCCACAAAAAATGCTAAATATAGCTCTTAACTTTCTAAACTGAAATTTTCTACATGGGTCTTAAGTGTATATATGATGAGGAGTAAGTATTTCTTTTTTTGAAATTAAAGTCTAGAGCTCCTTCTGAATGTGGTGCCAGAATTCCTCAGGCTGAAGGATGACTAAGAGCTTCAGTGATGAACAGTGTGGACAGATGGAAACACTCTTAACCTATTTCATGTTATGGGTAACCTCCCTAATTATTTGTTGCTATGTTACCTTTCCTCAGATTGTTAAACTGGCTGTTTATAGAATGCTTCCAAAAAACCTTCAGAGAAGAACTCTGATGCAGAGGCTACACCTGTTCCCCGAAGATGTGAGTAGCCATGCAGTTACATTTTCATCCTTGTGTTGTATAGAGGTGAAGAGGGAGTGTTTACAATACCACCCGTGTCATAAGCAAGTCAATTAAATTAAAAATCACACTGCTTTTTATATATATATATTTTTGTGTTTTCCATATTATTTCACAGAGATTCAAGACGTATGAGATTGGTGTATTTAGGTCAAACACTTAGCATGAAAAATGCAGTACTATTGACAAATTTTGGTCTGGCTTTGTGGGCAGGGGTGTTGTTTGTTAAACAGTCATGTAGTTAAGACTATTCTCACCTGTCTCAGGTTATTCCAGAAGATATAGAGAAGAACCTTCTACAAGAGATTCCTCAGCCACGTGCAGTCCCCAAGAGGTTGGATGAATATACACCAGAAGAAATTGCTGCCTTTCCGAAGGTTTGGACTCCGTAAGTATCTTACATTTTTTAAGAGGACACATTGACTGAATATATATAATGTAGGCTCCCACATTATTGGTAAGAAAAAGTAGTCATTCTTCTCTTTAGGCAATTTGTTTTTGGAGAGATGAGGTCATTAAAGCAAAGAACAATGTTTGCTAAAATTTTCTATTTCTGGTTTGGTTTTTTTAATAAGAAAAGTTTTACTTAAAATGTTATGTTTTCAACTCCCTGCTTCATCAAAATGAATAAAGTAAAAACCTTCATTACCTGGTTTGAGTTGGATGTGCTCTATAATTCATAACTGTTAGCCATAGCCAAAGGAAATGCCACTCAGGTCTGTAAACTTTCAAAAGCTTATTAAAAATCACTTGTACTTAGGCTCCTCACCTTAGATAATACTAAAATATGTCTGTACATCCATTCTGTGTAATGGAAGCACCTCTGTGTTACAGTGTCTGTTAAAGGAAACAGAATCCAGCAAATACATTGCACCTTTTTCTAAGCTGAAACAGGGAGATCAGTTTTGACTTCTAACCTATGTCAGTGGTAAAACTTGGTATATTTGCTTTTATCCTCAATACTGAATGGAGCTGAAATTTCTGAGACCTCATGGTTTCTATGAGATTTCTGTGGATTAGGCTGAATTTAAACTGAAGAAGTTTAGATTCTGCACCATTGACCAGAATTCTGCAGTACATTACAGTAAAGCTGATAAGCCTGTTCCTGTTATATGGTGTGCTGTAGTCTTCTGTAACTGTCTTTAGTATTAAAACTGATATAGGTTCTCCACAATAATTTAACTTGAATGATGAGCTGGCACTTAGTTTTAGCTCACTAATTGGCAATGTCTGTATTCTCAAAGGAAATAGAGTTGTGCTGACATAGCTTTTAAAATGTATTTCTTTGTACCCACACACTACCATAGTTCATCTTCTTAGGACTGGGCCACCTTAACTGTGTTGACTTGCAGGTGTGTGTGGCAGAGGACAAATAAACTTGATGCCATCTAATTTAGTCATTGCTGTCAAACTAAGTTTTGTAATATCTTCATGTCAGCATATTAACTTTGGGGAAAATCTGCAAGTAAGAACACTGCTGTAGTTAGAATTCCCCTCCCATAATTTCTTGGAACATTCCCTCTGGAGGAATCCAAACCACAGAGAAAATAAGCATCCTCTTTTTTGTATCTTTCTCTCCTCTGTAATCTCATCTGGATTGATTGCTGGTAACTGCACTCTGTATATACAGTCTTGCTCCTTGCCAATTATGGGGGCTGGGGAGTGCAACTGCCTTGGAAATCTGTAGCAATTTGGAGGCTTTCAGCTCAGTGCTTCTCCTGTGGGAGAGCTAGGGAGCTCAAGTGGGTATTATGGTGAGAAAAAACAGGGAATAGGTGGGCCAGAGAGGAACAGAATACTGGGTGTAAAATGAGTGAGAGAATGCTGGGGAGAAGTGGAGATGGTGGGTTCTGGGTGGGGTAGGGAAAAACAAATGGGAGTTTGGGAGAATTGTAATGCTCTGAGTGTAGAGACTGGGGCAGAAGTTTCCCTTCAACCAACTGCTCCATCTAGAGCCACATTTAAAGGCTTGGAGACACACCTAACCCTTGCTGTGTCAGAGTTTTGTCCCACCTGCTTTTATGCTCCCAGGAGCTGGTAAGATCTCACAGAGGGAGAAGAATGAGTATGGTTATCTTCCATCTCTCTGCTAACTGTGGGGCTCATCACTGGTGTGATTTTGGCTTCTTGTCCTGGCCTGCAACCAGGCCATTGTTGGTGTCAGATAGATTTTAATTTAACCTTCAGCTCAATTTTTTACCAGTTTTGATCTTGGGAAGAGTTTCCAATGTGAAGTAATGGGAAAAATAGTAATGTTTTTCCTGTCTGATTGAGAAAGTGTATTTTGATTCTCTGGCATTCAGATGTCAGGGCCAGGGAGGGGAGGAGAGATTAGTTGGCAAATAAAAGATGAAGAATTGAGGGAATTTGATAAAATTATTTTCTGATGTGAAATATCTTTATTTTTTATATATATATTTAAAATAATGTAAATATCTCTATATTTTATATATATAAAGTGACATATCTTTATATTTTATATTAAGAGGTCTGTAAAAGGGGACTTAAAATGAATCATAGCCATGTGCCCACACTGTTCTGATTAAAATGCCAGCTGGAGTGTCTGAGAATAGACAGCTTTGCACCAAACATATTAAAAGAAAGGGTGAATGAATATGCAGAGGTAATAGAATCTCTGTTCTGAGTTTTTTCAGTGTGTGAAGCCATGGAAGAAGTAGTGTTGGCATTTTTACAGTATTCCTGTGAAAGACTGGAGAAGGAACAAAAATATAAGTATTTACATAGTCTTCTTTTTAGAAGCATATAGCACAAATATGCTTTTAAAAAGAAGTCAGAAAATGTACAGCTTTGTTCAAAAAACCAAAGAGAAGTTAGGTTAAAATATTGTTACATAAATTTGATAATTTGAGATATACTGAGAAAACAGCTATGTGACATGAAAATTACTTGAGAAGAGAAAACTTAAAGGGAATGTGTGTTGTTTTGTAGAAATCCAAATATTGCAGAGATATATTTGCATCTCAGAACACCAAACTGACTTTGGGTTTGGGTTCCTTGTCATTTCATTCTTGTCACCTGCCAGGCTGCCCAGGGAGGTTGTGGAATCTCTAGGCCTGGAGATGCTCAGAACTCACTGCACAGTTCCTGAGCAAGCTGATGTAATGTTGAAGTTAGTTCCTCTCTGAGTGGAATCCTTTCAGATGCAAATTATTCTGTGGTTCTTTATATGTGGGGAAAGTAAACAAACATAGTAAAATAGATTAATATTTTAATAAACTGTGTTTAAAAGACCCAGTGCTTAGGTTGCTAATCTTATTAGTCCTGTTTGGCTTTTCCTTGGGCTGTTGTTTGTTACTCTGTACTAGGATCTCAGAAATCAAGGTGAGAACACACATTGCTAAAATGAGTAGCTTGTTCCTGTCCCCTTCATTCTGCATTTGTGATGTAAAAAGCCTTATTATGGACTTGGATCTGTGAGGTTCTGTAGAACCTATAGATAGCTTCCATGCAGTATGAGCAGTCCTTACAATGAAGCAGAAAATGAAGGACACAGAAAAGCTTTAAACTCCTCTTTTTATTTTCTTCTTCAGATGGTTTTAGTTATTCTTCTTGCCTTATGTGTCTTTTGGTTTTAATTATTTATCTTCCATGAAGTTTTGAGCCTGGTGACCAACCTAATTACCAAAGTGAAGATGCTCAAAATGAAATTAAATATCTCTGAGAGTGATTAGAAAAGGGAGGAGTGAGAGGGAGGCAGGGTTAATGGTTCAGCTTCTTTCTACAGAAGAAAAATAGTTGATATTAGCCCTTTAAGATACCTGTATGCTTTAAGGGAAAACATCAAATGAAAAGCAGAGCTTAATTAAAGGTATGTAAGTCTGTAAATACAGATTGTAAGTCTATAAATACAGATAAACACAATTATGAGTAAAAAATTAATCTTTGAGGTTTTACATTAAAACTTATACTCAAGAAATGTACCTTACTGTATATAAGCCAGACATAAGATAGACAATAGGGAATGAATGTAAATACCTGAATTTATATGCGAATTTACGAATATCGGGAGGAAAGTAACCTTTTTCTTTTTAATTGGAAATAATAATGTAAATTTTCATTTGGAATGTGAAGAATGTGCTCAGTGCTGCTAATGTTATTGGACAGTTTTGCTCTATTTTGTGTTAAAATGTCTTGCTATAGAGGGTTCTTTAAAGGCTGTTTTGCTGGTAGTTGGAGACTGACCCACCACAGAGAAAGACACAGTGTGCAAGTGGGACACTAAAATAGAGAAATAGTTTTAAGGAAATCACAGGTGTGGAAACCCAGCAAATTGTTTGGTTTTCAGTGGTAAGCATTCCCATCACCTCTGCTTCCACCACGACAGGACATCAAGAGGGATCCTGCTCCATGAAAGGGGAGAATCAAAAGTGAGGATATTCCTGGTCAGAGAAGCTTTCCTCGAGCATTCTTTCCTTTTATTCCTAATTGGAGCCAACTGACTTTCCAACTTGTGCAGAGGTTCTGACTTAGATCCTCTGTGGAGATGTCTGAAGTGGGATGGAAAACCATGTAGATACAGGAAAGTAAATTATGTCTGTTCCAGACATATTTCAAGGTGAAAAAGATCAAAAACTAGCTCCTTTGACAGAGTTTGATCTTGTGCTGTGAATGAAACTTTTATTTCAAGTGTGTTTGAAATTTCAGATTGTATGTCTTTTAAATGAGTTTTAAACAGAAATCATCACAGAATTCACCAGTTACATATAACTAAGCAAACAATTCTGTTCCTTGAAAGCAAGCATACATCAGATTCATAGGCACATTTTCCTGTTATATACCATTTGAAAGTTGTTTAACTGTCTGGGTATATATGTGTTTTGAGACAATTTTAAAGGCAGGAAATTGTACTTCAAGAAGTATTTAAATAAGAATGTTACCAGAAACAGCAGCCCTGTGTTGCTCCAATGAGATGGATGCATTCCTGGGAGTTTCCCTTAAGAAAGCAGAGCTGTCTGATTGCATAGAGTGTGCTTGGGCTGCTGCTGGTGTGCAGCCTGGTCCACTGCCAGCCCTCCTAGGAGCTCCCCTCGGGCCAGACAGCTGCTTGCTTGGCCTTGGGGGAACAAGTTCTTCCACACTTCTGAAGTTTTCAAAACTTGATATATTGTAAACTCTGCAATTTGCTTTTTGAAAACCAAACACCTTCTTAATGTTTATATTTCTGAGTAACTTTCCTGATTTCTGCCCCCATCTGTACATGCTGCTTTGAGGCAGGGAGTTGCAGAGCCTGGTCTGAAGCCATGGGTTTGTTCCAGCCAAGCAGCATGGCTTAGGCAGGGTCCCAGTACTGACATTGCTTGTCATCTCCATGCCGTGGCACACAGATTCCTGGAAGTTTGTCAGCAGCACTCTGTGGCTTTGAAAGCA